GGGACTGCCTGATCCCACTGTACTTTTCCATTGTACCCAAAAAAAAAAAAAAAAAAGTTTATAGGAAAGACTGTAAATCTCATTTAATATTAGGGATTAATATTAATTATATTATAAGTTAGAACTATTGATAATTAGGTGAGAACCTTCCCCAGTAGCACCCATTTGTTTACACTCTAGGGAAGGACATTTGCAGACCCCAGAATCAACCAACATAAATGTTAGTAAAATTATTGTAACAAAACCAACTACTTGTACTGGCTGAAGCTTGTCACCAAAGACAAATCTTCACATTCATCATGGTTTCAATTTTGTCCTTACACACAACACGGTATCAAATCAAAATAATATAAAATTCAAAAATAATGTAATCCCATTAACAAAAATAATAAGTAGCACCACACAATCTATATAATAAAACGGTTCAGTGTTTGAAATTTTGTCACATATATATTTTTTCTTTCAAAATCATCTCATCACTTATTTCTATTATATGTTTAATCATTTAATATTTAATTAATTTATAATTTAACATAATTTTTATTTTAAATATTATCCATTCACAATAATATATACATATTAAAAAAATTTATCGAATTATATATATTTTTTAATATTTTTTAAAAAAATAATGGATAAAAATAAATTATAAGTGATGGAATCAAGTAAATGAAATCTATAGTAAAATCTATTTTTTAAGACATTTAAATTTTATATTTTATTGCATCTTAGTGATTTCGTTAGGACGAATGATGACTCAAGTAGCACCCTAACAAGGGACACTGTCCTAGTATTTCTTTGCCTAGTTACGTAAAGGTGAGTTGAACGGAAATAATAATGATGTTAGAAGTTAGAACAGTCCAAGTTATTTTATGGGTGCCTGTGGATTTTGACTTTTCAAAGAAATTGAGCTTCCAAATTACTCAAAGGTTTCCACTTTGAGTAGCTTTTGGGCTTTTTATTGGCCTCCTACGACGGCAGCTGTTAGTTGGACAAACAAACCACATGCGGTTCGAGGAAATAACGAATGGGACATCACTACTACATCGGATGCACCACACATTTTATAAGGATTCAAGTAACGGTAACAAGAGGTTACTATTGGATTAATGATTATTCTCTTTGTTGTTGAATTTTTTCGTAAATTTTATTATTCTTTTTTATTATAATAATGTTTAATCAAAAAAAATAAAAAGTGACGATCATCGTCTTATCTACCCAATGTTTTTAAACAATAATTAATTTTTAGAATTAATACAAAAATTAATTTGAAATATCATATTCGATCTTATTTACCCCTAATAAATTATAACTCGATTCATAAAAATCTATAACTTAATTTTTCTAAAAAATTCTATTTTTAAGATCAAATTTAACTGTTTTTATTGTAATTAAACCAAAAAAAATTGCTCTTCACTCATGGAAGATATAAATTTTGAAACCGTAGTCAAACATCTTTGAATAATGCTAGATCAAGAAAAAAAATTATATTATAAATTTAATATTTAGTCCTCTCTCTCTCTCTCTCTCTCTCTCTCTCCCCTGGTTTAGACAAGTTAAGCTTTCTCTCACTCTTGATTTGCTTTTGGTCAGGTTTTCTTCATATAAGGGCTTACAAATCATGAATATTTTTTGACGGACTCTCTATAATAAGTGACATTTTCTTTCTTCCTCCTCACTCTTACTTTGAAGTTCGAAAGTTCCTCTCCTTCACCGGAGATTTGATTCGCTCTAAGTTTGATTTTGAAACCAAAATTTTAAGTTTTACTTTACATGTGGAAGAAATAAAATTGTGTCAAAATTGAAAAAAAAAAAGTCAATCATCATGGCCATATCAACCCCCTTAGATGATCCTTTAGTTTGGCCTTTTTTGTTTAATCAAGCTAACATTAGTCATCGTCTTTTGCTTCCCATGAGAACAGTTTAAGGATTAAAATACCCGAAGATATGCTTATCAACATTAGCCATCTAACCATAGTTAGATACAGAAGATATTAAAAAAAATTGTCAGATTTATAAGTCTTTCATCTGTCTTATCTCGAGATTATCAAATTTTCACAAGCTAACATAAAAAAAAAAAAAAAAAAAGAGGGAAAGAAATATTGTCAGCATGTTCAACATCAATCACATTGTTACTTCCATTGATTTTATTTTCTTCCACAAACATTGCTTTCAAATATTGTGGTTTCCAAAACTCCACCAACCCCACTTTGGGGAAAAAAAATCGACGCTAATAGTCATGCTATATTGAATTTTCGTTTTGAGGATTAAATGTGAAAGATATCTCTATTTTTTTAAGATGTCACATTTAACATAGGCAATTATGTCAAGAAATAATTATGAGAATTGCTTTATTTTTATGTTTCGTTTGGTACAATGAAAAAGTGAGGGGATAGAAAGTTGAAAGGATAAATAAAATATCATGTTTGGTAACGAAGAAAAGTAGGAATAATAGAAAAGTGAATAGATTAACTTTCCTTTCAATTTACCAAAATCAATCTCTTCAAAATCGAAAGAAAAGTGGATGAAAAGTTAATTATTTGTGTTGAGATGTATCTTATTTGTCTATATATCTTATGTATACATTAATTTTATATAAAAATACAATGGTAAAATATGTATATATATTTTTTTTTTAAAAAAAAAAATATATATATATATATAATTAAAAATTAAAAATTTTAAATTAAAAAAAATATTTTTTTCATCTTAACTAAGGGTAAAAATTTTAAACTCAACACGATGACACGACTCGAACTCGATACGAAAATAAACAGGTCAACTTGTAACTCGATACAACACAATTAGTTAAATAAGTTAAGTTAGGTTTGACTAATATTCGACACAAACTCGTAATGACTCAACACGACTCGACTCGATTATCACCCCTAATCTTAGCCAGTACAAAACAAGAAAAAATAGTTATTTCTATTTTTTATCCATCTATCAACCAAACACAATGGAAAGAAAATGTATCATTCCTACTTTTCATCCTAGAATGATAGAAAATATATTCCCTACTTTCCATCATTCCTACCAAATGAAACATTAAAATAAAAAATACTAATAAATCCATATATCGAGAGATGTGATATGATTGAATCGTTTATGTTTAACAATTATGGTATAGGGACATACGAAAGATTACCATCGTAGCATTTTTGTAGTTATTATTAATGTGCAAACTGATTTGGACATATTACAACACAATTCATGACTTCTATTTCTCAAAAACCAAAAAATGATCGATCATTGTTAGGAAACTGTCATTTTGGAAGAGTGCCGACAAGCTATAGAAACATGTTTTAAAAAAAAAGCTACAAAAATAGAAACGGAATATGTGGCGTTGGATATTATTTTATAACAGTAAGTTCTTTACATGTCAAGTAATATTGGCTTAAAAATTATGTCAAATATACATTATTAGTTATTACCCGTGCTTGAAAATACGGGTTAATAAAAAAATAGTCAATAATAATTATATTTATATTCACACCTAAAATCAAATTTCAAATATAGAAGAGAAAGAAAATAATTTAAACACTAATTATAATGAGAGTAACCGATGGTAAAATGATGGACGGCAACGGTGGTAATGTTGATAGTAGGTATGGTGGTGATGGAACGGTGGTGGTGGTAATGAAAATAATGGTGATGGGGCGATAAGTGTGGGGGTGGTGGTGAGGTGGCGACGACGGTGGTGGTGGTTATTGTTGTGGCAGAGGTGGTGACGGAGTGACAGCGACAGTGATAATGGTGGGGGTGAGGTGAGGGTAATTGTGGTGATAAGGTGACAGCGGTGATGGTAGAGATAGTAGTGGTGATGATGGTGGGACGGTAGGTATGATGGTAAAGGCGTAGTAGGGTAATTTCAAATAATATTTTTTTTAAAGTACTTGTGTGAAGTTAAAAGTTTTAGAAGTATTTTTGAAAAGAGAACTCAAACACACTTTAAGAGTCTATTTTTCTATTAAATTTAAAGTGTTAATATTAATCGTCAAATTAACTTTAAAATAAAATTTAAAAGAGATCTCAAATATAAAAAATAAAAATATTTTATTTATCTTATAATATTTAAATTATATTATACTTTATCATATAGACTAACATGACATCTAATGCGTCCTTCACATGGTATTATTGAGTTTTAATTTAGGCATTATTATTTCTACTTCTCTATGTCAGTTTGTACTTTTACTCAATTTGAAAAGTGGCATTCGTTGATAAATGGTTTTGTTTCTATTTTTACATATGTTTTTTTTTTGGTACTTTGATCCATTTTTTCTTCTTTTGAGGTTTTTTTTTCCCCATATCTTAGTAGACACAAGTAATAAACAAAAGAATATCAAAGATGAGTGGTGGTTAGAACCAATAACCATATTTGTCCAAGACATAAATTTTGAAGACAAAATTGGGAAAAACAAATCTTTTAGTGAAAACCAAACGAGGCATGGACTTATGTTTTGTAAAATCCTAAAAAGGGATAAGTGATCAATCATCATTCATATTAGATCGTCATATAAAACTCTTGTAACTACAAAATTACATATATTGGGATCTCTTATTTAAAGGAAATATGGCATCCCAACTTTGGATGAAAGGATTAAATTGAAACTTTGGTGAAAGTATAGTGTTAATAATTTTCAAATGAAAACAACCGGGGGGTAAAGTGAAATTTACAAAACTATAAGAGTTGAAAGCGTTATTTATTTACCCTTCCAATTAAGTTCACAAACCAAACATAACCGCATTTTGAATTCGGATCCAAAGAATTCAAGCAAGCCGAGGGCAATTTGGTAATACCATCCAAAAAAGGCCACTATTTAAACGCACCCCAACTAGCATCAATCTTCAAATCCATCGGCTCCCATTTTCATCACCCACGCGCCGGAGAGAGGGTTCACGATTTCCCGACGAGAATTCCTCCAATCCCGGCCACCGCACACCTCCAACGCTATATATATCACCTCTCTCAGTTACACACATACACCCAATCCAACTCTTCTTCTTCTTCTTCTTCTTCTTCTTCTTCTTTGTTTGATCTATCCTCGCAGGAAAACCTATATCGACGTATATAGTATATATAGATACACGCGTATAAGATATATATACAGGGACATAGTTGTTGAGAGAAAGAGAGGAAGATGGGTTCGGAGTTGATATTCAGGGGCCACGAGGCTCAGCCAACGGGCGATGCATACTCTCCGAAGCCACCGAAGCCATGGCTCACCGTGATTCGGCCGATTCGCTACATGCTTCGCGAGCAACGACTCGTTTTCGTTCTCGTCGGCATTGCCATCGCCACCTTGGTGTTCACGATCCTTCCGTCCTCTCACGGTCCTTATGGCCATAATAATGTCGCGATCTCCGGTTCCTACTTCGATTCCCAGCCGATGGAGTCTCGCATGGCTCACCGGATCACCTACCAGGACCGTGTCGGATTGGAATCATTCCATTCCGGCGGTAAAATACCTCTGGGACTAAAACGAAAGGGTCTTCGGATTGTGGTCACCGGTGGGGCTGGGTTTGTTGGTAGCCACCTGGTGGACCGTCTAATCGAAAGAGGTGACAGCGTTATCGTCGTCGACAATTTCTTCACCGGTCGTAAAGAGAACGTGATGCACCATTTTGGGAACCCTAGATTCGAGCTCATCCGACACGACGTCGTGGAGCCGCTATTGTTGGAGGTCGATCAGATCTATCATCTCGCTTGCCCTGCCTCTCCTGTTCATTACAAGCACAACCCTGTCAAGACAATTATATCCTTTCCTATGATTCAAATTTTCTTGTTTAACCAGTTTCCATATTGTTTTCCGTTTGATTTGCTTTTGAATTTTGAGAAATTTTTATTTCGAATTCCTTAATTTTTATTTTGGGGGTTCACAAGACAAATGTGGTAGGGACTCTGAACATGCTTGGATTGGCCAAGAGAGTTGGAGCGCGGTTCTTGCTAACGAGCACCAGTGAGGTGTACGGTGATCCCCTGCAACACCCTCAGGTGGAGACGTACTGGGGCAATGTCAATCCCATCGGTGAGTCAAATAAAATATCTCTCTTCTCTTATACTTTTCACCGGATTCCGACAGCGTGTCCCGCCGGTCGGTACGGTTCACTTTAGCATCACGTGTGAAGTGGGGCTAACATGCGCTCGTCCGCTGTAAAACCGAGTCGTACTTTTTTTTTATTTGTTTTGTTGTGGAAGTGTAGTGCCACGTGTACTTGGATAGCTTTTTCCTTCCTATGACCTTTGGACTTAGATCCGGATTTGAATAGTCTGCGATCAGCCCGTGATTTACGGGTCGCCTCATCCGACGGTCCAGATCTTTCACTAGAGTGGCTCATTTTCAGTCAAACTGCGGACTTGACGGTGTTTGGTGGGTGGGGATTTTCTTCTTGTAAATTGATTGGCTAACGGTAGAATAGTAAAAGAGGAAGTAGTGGAGGAGGGTATGTTTGTAATTATGCGGTAGTAACGTAAATCCTAGATCTGACAACGTTTTGCTGTGGACAGGTGTACGAAGTTGCTACGATGAGGGAAAGAGGACAGCGGAAACGTTGACCATGGACTACCACAGAGGTGCTGAAGTTGAGGTTAGTTTAATTAATTAATTAATACATACTCAGCCTCGTGGCTATATGGGATATATTTTAATTCGAGTAATTATTGATTCTTTATGGGATATATGTAACTGTATTATTTTGGGAAAAAATTATGTAAAACAGGTGAGGATTGCCAGAATTTTCAACACATATGGGCCTCGGATGTGCATTGATGATGGTCGGGTTGTCAGCAACTTTGTTGCTCAGGTAAATGCTTTTACTAAATATTTCATCCTTCTGATACTAATTGTCCTACCACTAACCCACATGGTTTAGCAATATCGAGGCCTAAAATATATATTGAAGCTGATTAATGTCTATGGTTTATGGATGATTATACGTACCCGAGATTTGGATTCCCACTATGAATTTTGTGAACACATAGTTGTAACGATAACCTTTATCCAAAGAAGTCTAGGAGTGCTACTAATTGCATGCGTATAAGATATGATGTATTTCTACATTATGCAGGCCTTGAGGAAGGAGCCATTGACAGTTTATGGGGACGGGAAGCAGACAAGGAGTTTCCAATTTGTTTCAGATTTGGTAAGTGAAAGATTTATTTCCTATACAATCATCTAGCAACATATTTACATTTGTTTTCTCTATATTGTTTGTATGTGTTTAGCTTTTCGATAGTATAATGGTATTCACATACTTTTTGTAGTTTGAATTTGAGACTTTGTTTTGCATTCAAGTTTGGACTTTTTTAGTTGTAACGAGTGGACGATTTGTCTCTATTCAATTTATTTAAATGCCAAAAGTGGGACCAAGCTCTTACATCTGTATTCAATATTGTATGCATGGTTCCTTTTTTTTAAGTGAAAGGCAAGCAATATGATGATCCCACTTTCCAATGCATAGTGTCCAATCGATTTGCATGTTTTAATGAATTACAACATGCAATATTAGTAGTTTTTATTGTTATTACTTTAAGTGCCATTCTTGAGGTAAACCTAGTTTGAAAGAATTGAATGGCTAAGGTCACCCTTTCATTCTTATGCATGCGTATGGCATGCCACATCAATCTTCTAAAGCTTCAAGAGAAGTTGTGGTCTTTTCAAACTGTTGTTTCTTTGTGTTGTAAAAGATATAGCACAGTTGACAGTCCTTTGTCAACAGACGAATTTGAGAGGGAATTATCATGTCGTTGAATATGCGTATGAACTATGAAGTCATGGATGTTTTGAAAAAAATTTAAATTTTTTGACCAAAGGCTGCAACATCTTAACTTCTATTTTTTTTTAAAAGAAGATTTAGCCATCTGTTTTTTGGGGAATATAAGCCAGTTAGGGCCTCCAGCGAGCCCCTAGGGATTGAGCATGCCTTACAGAAGAATATGCCATGTACGGAAGAAAATCCTTTAAAAAGTGCGGTTCCAGCTATCTTGTTTATCACCTAACCGAGTTAATAAAGGGTCCATGGATCCCTTTTTGTCAATTAAAAGGAAACAGTAACATAGGGGTTTCATTTGGCTGTGAAAAAAATTCCTCTGAAATGTCTACAAAATCTTCTTCTCTTGTTAGTTGTTACTATAATATTATGTAAAAAATAAATGCAGAGATCAGTAAGTAAATGGCTTTAGTGCTGCAATGGTGTTAAGGTCTAGAAAAGGATGTTTTCTCTGTAAAGGTGCTGTGGTGTTATGGACGTAGGTGGTTTTCTGGGGTAGGATGTTTCCTGACTAGTAACAGCTATTAATTATTGTACTCATGAATTCTTCACCTAACTGTTGGTATCTGGGGTAGGGTTTTCTGTTGTGCAGATCTGCCCCTCCTCAAATGCTGACACTAGCATTTTTTATATCTAATAAATTGTGTAGGGTAATACCTTTCTCTGTTTGGGCAAATATTAATTGTGTTTTGGTTTGTTTGATTTGGAAGGTGGAAGGTCTAATGCGCCTGATGGAAGGAGAACATGTGGGACCTTTTAATCTTGGAAACCCCGGTGAATTTACCATGCTTGAACTGGCTCAGGTACTCTTGTCTTGAACTAGATTGGCTATTATAAACTTGATGTGGGGTACAAAATTACAATCAAATTCTTGGGGAATCTTTTCAACACGTTTGGCTATTAGATAAATTATGAACTAGATTGAAGAGTTTATAGGCCCTTTCTGTTCAGTTGTTATATCATTTACATTAAAGTAAATTAGCAAATTGTGTCGCTGATTTTCTTAAACTTAATTTGGAGACCTAATCAATTATAGATGTTGGATTGAAAGCACAGACTGCATTTAACACTAAAACTCATAACTAATCTAATTATTTTATTGAATTCGGTTGCTGTTTAGGTGCCGAAATTAGGTGCCTACAGCATTGCTCTGTTGTGAAAATGAGCAAATCTCATATCGATTTCTGTGCAGGTGGTCCAAGAAACAATAGACCCCAATGCGAAGATTGAGTTCAGACCCAACACAGAGGATGATCCCCACAAGAGGAAACCTGATATCTCCAAGGCGAAGGAGCAGCTCGGTTGGGAGCCAAAGGTGCCTCTTCGCAAGGGTCTCCCTATGATGGTTTCAGACTTCAGGCAACGCATATTTGGCGACCACAAGGACGATGGTGCTTCTACGTCCAAAGCTTAAGCTACACATGAGCTTTTCCACTGACAATTGGAAAGAGATATTTGTTGAGCAGAAACAATTTCTCTTTATTCTCTCCAAAGCTAGTACAGCAGGGGATGCTGCGACAGAAGCTCGGACCCCTACTTCCTTTTGAATAGTGTTGCTGCATCTTCAGCGTTTGTCATTTTTTGTATTTTCCGCGGTCTTATCGTTTAAGTAAGCTGATTAGACAGCAAGTTTAGGAATTTTACAGGAATAACTTCTATTTTTCCGTTGCAATCCTCAATTGCAAGAGAAGCAGATTTGTACGTGTTTTTCAGTATTCAAATATTATCACTTTGTTCACAATGTTGTCATAGCGGGTCTGAAATCTTCTTATTACAAGATGCATCCCCCCCTCCCCAAAACAAAAAACCTGGAAACAAGTTAAGTTCTTTCCCAAAATACAGCAGATAGCTTCTACAATTCTTAAATTGATCCTTAATGCTCTGTTTAGTATGATGAAGATGAAAAAATAAAATGATAGAAAGTTGGAGTGATAAATATAATATCGTATTTGGTAAGAAAAAAAATAGAAAGGATGAAAAGGTGGATGAATAAATTTTTTTTTCAACTCACTAAAATTAATCTCTCTAAAATCGGAAGGAAAGTGGATGGAAAGTTAATTATTTGTATTGAAATATATGTTATTTGTCTATATATATATTGTCTATATATATATATATATATATTACGTTTCCATTAATTTCATATATAAATATAATAATAAAATATGTATTTATATTTTTTTTAAAAAAAAAAAAATAAATATATATATATATATATATATATATATTTATTATTATTTTTTTTTTATCTTAGCTAAGGGTATAAATTTTTGATTCAACACGTTGACATAATTCGAACTTGACACGAATTTTATAACACGAACTCGAAAACTACTTGACACGAACACGAAATATAAATGACTCATTCAGTTCAACTCGTTAAACCCAAAATTAACACCATTAACCCGTTTATTTAAGAATAAACACTTTTTATATTTTCTCGTTTGTATGATAATACAAAATTAACAAGTTTAACTAATATTATGGACATAAAATGTTAATTATTTGTAACTATTTATTAAGCACTGATATAATTATTATGTAAAAAATATTATTTATTATTATATTTATTTAAGTTATTTTTTAGTTTACAAAAAAAATATGAGCATGAATTCAATTGAGTAAAAATAGAATATTAGCATTAAATTTATTGTTCAAAATTTATATGGGTCAACACGAATACGAACACGAACACGATACGAAAATAAACAGATCAACTTGACATAACATGATTAGTTAAATGAGTTGAATTAAATTTGACTAATATTCAACACCAACCCGCAATAACTCAACACGAACATGAGATACGACACTATTTGATTGTCACCCTTAATCTTAGCAATCACAAAAAAAAAAAAAATTATTATTTTTTATTTTTCATCCATCATACCAAACACAAAAAAATATATATATCATTCCTACTTTTATTTTTAAAAGATAAAAAATATATCTCTTCCACTTTTCCACTTTCCACCTTTTCTAACGGAGCATAAGAGAGGCCCACCCGTTAGAAAGTGCCCTTGCTTCACTTGTCAACTGGAAGTACAATTGAATCTGTGTTTTGCTGCCATAGCTAGTGCAGAGGAAAACAAGCTGGTTCATGAAGAATAATGGGTTGAAACATCGATTATCGAATATTTTGATACCTATTATTCTTCAATTCGATTAGCTATTCAATGTCATGGTCGAGTGTCTGTAGACGTCTCTATGCAATCCTCAACAGCTCAAAGCAACGTAGATGGTGATAGCTTCAATCCTGAATTATTGCAGGCTCCATACACGTTGTAAAATTTAAGCAACCAGAAGAAACTTGTTTAAAGAGACTAATCAGCTAGCTCATCAGCCTGTAGAACTACATGCCAGTCCATCCAGACATTATAATTAGTGCACTTGTACCTTTTAAATTTCGGTATGCTTCACCTGATGTGCAAGCGTGTCCCCTTGTATGAACTCGATACACTTTTCCAGAAGGAAGCAACAGCAAGATTGAACCAAACTCTCACTCACTTTCGCAAACTAAACAGTGTTTATGAACTTCTAATAATATGCCATATATAGCAAATTCTACCAGTTAGTCAACCTAAATCCATTAGCAAGTTAATAATTCCACAATCTACACTTCAGGTTTTCTAGGCAAAATGAACAAGCCAGTCAATTGTCACTTAGAAATAACATCCAACAGACGAGCCAGGAATTCAAGACAAACAAGTTCCATCAAGTCCTACAGCAATCAGGTAGTTTAGCGAGTACAAATACTTCCACATGAGGGCTGACATTTCTTTAGGCACCTTGCTCTTCCTCCCCAAAAAACTAGCCCATCATGCTTCCACAAACCAACAGGCGTATACCTGCATCAAACAAAGGCTTTACGCGTGATAAACCTGGATAAAAAATATAAAATAATTTGAACATCTCTGTAGCAATCTGGCAAATCACAGCACAAGAGGCAAGAGTAAATTCAGCACTAAACATTTTTCCTTTTTCTTTATTTTTTTGGAGGGGGGGGAGGGGGATGTTTGGTCCAAACCACTACAAAGCCTATCTAAGTTACATAAATTTCATCTGTATGGGCTACAAGGCTTAGTTCAGCCACATATGCTTACACAGCCTTATGCAATCATTAAGGCAATGGAACAAAAATTAACTTTCTACGGAAGGTAACAAAAATTAACTTTCAAACATGCATTAGAGACAGAATTGACTTGTCTACGGGAGATAAGGACCTAATACTATAGGCCAAGTTAACAAGGCCGTGGGTAAATAACCAAAGTGAAAACTACTTTCTGCTTTCTTTACTGGTCTTATAGCCATAATATCTATTCTCCTATTTACACAAGACTATAAGAGCTTACCTAGTATGCCCACAATGGACCAGTGTCACCAACTCACCCAGGATGCACACTAAGCATCAGCAAGAATGCAAATTTTATCGCCAAAGAAAGCAGGAGACATGAATTCTCATAACATCCAATGCCCTCAGAGACAATATGAGAGAAAATTATTCATGGGACTGTTAGCCATTTTTAAACAGATGTTTACACAAAATGATTTGATTCCATAGTAGACTAGTAATCAGAAAAAAAAAGGGGCAAACTTCATTTTACCTCCTTATGGTATACCCCCAAATTCTCTTTACCTCCTTAACATTTAAAAACCTCCACATAACCCTCATGTGATTAGTGGACTAAAGTGCATGGTTAAAAAATCTGTCCAAATTAAAAGAATTGAACAAAAAGACTTTAATACCCTTCTTGATTTATTTTTAATTAATTGATAAAAAATCCCAACACAAATGTGGAGGACACATCCCAACCCAACTCTGGCGAACAACCACCACCACCATATTGGACTCACCACCGGAGCTCACACAGCAACCACCTGCTAGCTCTCTCTCTCTCTCTCTCTCTCAGTCACTCCCTTTCACTCCGGCGACCCACACACACACACAGCACACGCCAGCACAGACACACACAACACTGTCCCTTTCTCGATGTCTATCACTCCTCTTCACTCAGACGACCCACACACACGCAGACACACAAGCACACACAGAACACAGAAATTACAATAATTTTTTTTTTATTCAACAATCGAATCATAATTGCAACCCCTAAAAGCCTCTAAAGTCCAAAATCAGTCTTTGGATTGAATGCTGGAGTCGGGATCCACTAATACATGAACGACGTCGTTACCCACCAACAATCTTTGAACTCAACCATCTTTGTAGACTCGGACAAAGGGAAGAAACTCATGGACTATTTCGGTTGTACTTGAAGCCATTACAGAGAGAAAATCAAAAGAAGTGTTTAGGCGAGAGAGAGATTGGGTGGGTGATGATAGTTTTTTTTTTTGGGGGTGGGGGAGAGGGGTCAGTTGGTGATGGTAGTTTGGTCATTTAAAAATATGTTTTTAGGCAAACTCTCACTTCTAGAGCGTGAGGAGCACAGTCGATTAAATTAAACGAAAAATGTAACTTTGCAGTTTAGTCCACTAAGCATGTGAGGGTTACGTGGAGGTTTCTAAAATGCAGCGAGGTAAATTGCATTTGGAGTATACCACGGGGTAAAGTGAAGTTTGCCCCAAAAAAATTCCAACCTTTAAGCCATAAATTTTTTGTTTGTAAGATGACACAGTATATGTTCCCCCAACATATATCAGTCAAATTAGTTCGAGGGGGATCACTGCTTCCAAAATGGACACATGAGCAAGGGGCCTACAATACATCTAGACTAGGAAACATAACAACAACTAACAAACACATTAAACAAATACTCAAAAAAAAAAAAAAAAAAACCACCAAGTCCAAAATATATTGTAGAAGACGAAAAACTTACCACGCTGATTCTTAAAAACGTAATGGAGCTCATAAGAGAAATAGTAACAGACATGTAAAGCAAATTATATACCAACAGTTGGTTCATTACTGAAACTTACAAAAGTAAATCAATACCTCTCACTTGGGGTTTCTAAGGACAATGATAACGGAATCTCCTCGAAGAAACATCTTGCTAATGAACCTGTCTTTGTTTACAGGAAGAGCTTTCTTCTTGCCTTTCCCAGTCTTCGGTACCTGAGCACAAGCACAAATAACTTAAATATCCCACGTCTAGTACAGAAATAACAGCATCAAATAAAGAAAAGGATCAGACGTGATAAAAATTATTGACGACAAAAACAACCAACCTCTGTCCACATTTCTCTAACATTTTCCAGCACCATGTTGCAGTGTCGATCAAAAGCTCTCACACGACCAAGAAGCTTTCGGTTATTTCTGCAGTTGATAAGCACCTGGTGCAAAGTACAAAGGTAACATCAGCAACATATAGACCACAAATCTATCAACAAGACCTGCACAAAAAACCCCCAACTTCGAACATTACTTTTGTTGCCCTCTCTAATGCATAATTCACCCAAATAAGAATACTCACTCCTATTACAAAAACCATAGAACATATCCTGTACCTGTGTGTTATTTTTGACACTCATCATCAGAATAGAAAGTGGCCCTGTGTTGAACTCCTCTTCTTCATTCTTGCTCTATCATCAAACAATATGGAATTTACATCACAAAAAAGGCATGATGACGCTGAAAATTAAATACCTAAATATGTGTGTGATGAAGTGGGACAATTTAATCAATGTTAAAAGGAAAAGAAGACAATGAACAGTAACATGAAACATAAAATTTAACAGATATGTGGATCAAATAATGGTACACAGAGACACAAAAACCACATAATGCATGATCAACCTGTGCCCACCAAGTCGGCAATTGCAAGCTAATATAACTGTCATGATAGGTTAAATACAACTTTAATTGAAAAAAGAATTCCTGCCTCCCCACAAGAGCAAGGCGTGACATTTTCCAAACAACCACACCAAAGAAAATGTGCACTCAGGTACTATGCATGCTCGCAATACAAGAGGAAGAGATTATGCTTTAAATCACCACCAGATATTCTAGTCAAACTATGAGCTGCACAAAGGCTTCCTACAAAAAAAAAAGTGCACTGCATTCCACTACGAACTACTAAGCGCAGAAAACCATTAGCAAACTATAAAATTTAAGTTTAGAAGGCTCAAGTCATGATGAGTAGAGTCTAAGCCAATAAAAGTATACAACTTAGGGTTAATTGCTTTTTATCCCCCCTATGATTTTTGGTTAGAAACACCTTATCTACTTGACATTTAAAATTATGCACATTATCCCATTATAGTTATGTACCAAAGTGAAGTAATTGAAGTCATTAACAGAATTACAAAATTGCCATAATAACCACGTTTTAAAATCAGAATTTTTGACTGATTTATTATTGACCATAAAATTAATAGAACATGATAATAAACTAACACATTTTAATCAAACATGTTGAGTCTCTTTTTCCCTAAAGTGAGGTTTTGTTTCGGGATCGAAAATCACTTATCTTTTCTTACATGTTTTTTGATCTGGGACTGATGCCCTACCTATTTGGGGTGTGAGACACACTCTCCGTTAACTTGGATGATAAAAATAACAATTTCACTTTGATATATAATTACAATGGATAATATGCATAATTTTAAACGTCAAGTAGATAATGTGCTTATAGTTGAAACCACGAGGAAAAAAGCAATTAACCCTACAACTTATTCATGAATAAGCACTATTTCAAATAATTAGCAAATGTACACCGAGACACAAAAACCACTTAATGCACGATCAACCTGTGTCCACCAAGTCAACAATTGCAAGCTAATAGAACTGTCATGATAGGTCAAATCCAACTTTAATTGAAAAAAGAATTCCTGCTTCCCCTGGTCCCTCCTCCCCATAAGAGAAAGGCGTGACATTTTCCATACAACCACCCCAAAGACAATGTGCACTAAGGTGCTCTGCATGCTTGCAATACAAGAGGAAGAGATTATGCTTTAAATCACCACTAGATATTCTAGTCAAATCATGAGCTGCAAAAGGCTACCTACAAAAAAAATGAAGTGCACTGCATTCCACTACGAACTACTAAGCGCAGAAAACCATTAGCAAACCATACAATTTAAGTTTAGAAGGCTCAGGTCATGATGAGTAGAGCCTAGGCCAATAAAAGTATCAAACTTAGGGTTAATTTTTTTTTATATACCCCTATGGTTTCGGCTAGAAACAGCTTACATACTTGACATTTAAAATTATACACATTATCCATTTATAGTTATGTACCAAAGTGAAATTGATGCCGCTAACAAAATTACAATATTTCCATAATAACCACTTTTTAAAATCAAAATTTTGGTTTGATTTATTCTTGATCATAAAACTAATGGAACATGACAACAAACCAACATATTTCAATCAAACATGTCAAGTCTCTTTTTCCCTCAAGTGAGGTTTTATTTCGGAACCAAAAATCACTTATATTTTCTTACATATTTTTTGATTTGGGACTGATGCCCTACCTATTTGGGGTGTAGGACACACTCTCCATTAACTTGGATGATAAAAATAATCATTTCACTTTAATATATAATTACAAGAGGATAATATGCATAATTTAAACATCAAATAGGTAAGGTGCTTTTAGCCAAAACCACGAGGTAAAAAGCAATTAATCCTACAACCTATTCATGAATAAGAATTGTTTCAAATAATTAGCAGATGTCCTTGGTCTAGGTTTTGAACCCCCTCCCCCCCCCCCCCCCAAAAAAAAAATTATAATAATAAACATGCAAAAATAAAAAACTATGGATTCATGTAGTACTAGGATATCATGAAGTCTCAGAGTAATATAAGGGTAAAGGTCTACGAAAATTTTAGAAACAAATCTTGATTACATTACTATGTATAAGATAGTGCAATGCATAAGTCTAGAATTTCCATCCTTGGGTCCGCCCATGCAACTCAGTTGTCAATACTATCATAGAGTACACAAAGATCAGGAAACATCTTAGACATAAGTGAATAGAAGAAACCTCTTAGATAATAAGATGAAAATTACAAATAGTTTAGCAAGATTTTTAGATTACATAATCTAGAATTTACTATCTTTATGTTTTAAGTGCGAGACCCAAACCAAAAGTTGCAATACAACCTTAGTTGAAAACAAAAAGGATTACTTGGAAATTTACATAAGTTGTTCAAGTCATGTCCAACCTTTTGTTTTATGTTGCACAAAAACATCTGAGTTGGTTTTAAAGAAGGCTTGCATTAAACCCTCTTTTCTATGCAACAGTTAACCAATCCGAAAATAGAAGACTTCACCATACATTGTCCAACACAAATGCAATGCAATCCTTAGTTGGCCTACTTAGCTGCTGCATGGAATTCTGTATAATATTTCTAACAAAATAAGATTTAAAAAAATCCCACTAGTTTGATAAAATAGCCAACTTTGGAATAAGTAACAATTAACCATTGAGTGCTAGTTTTGGTGGCAAAGATTCCTGAACCTAAAATAAGTGGTTTAGAGTTTGAGTCTTGTCAGCAAAAAGGGTGAAATAAGCTATAGTTCTCATTAGATTGAAGATCTGAATTTGATCCCCAGATGTCAGTACGCCCCTCGAATCACTTTCGTCTCAAGAGGAGACTAGATCCATTGTTGCATATAAACATTAATAGTAACAATATACAGTAAGAGATACCTGAAAGAACCTCAAGACAACCTAACCATCTACCACAAACTTGTGCCCTGTTCTATATATTGAATGTAGATGGGCATCATGGATCAGTAGTGATTCTTTCTTTTCTATGTCAGTATAAGGTATATTGAATGTAGATGGGTAAACTTCATCATGGATCAGTAGTACGATTCTTTCTTTTCTATGTCAGTATAAGCGCAACAAATAAGAAAATGATTACTGAAGACATAATATAGGGAGAGAAGGAGCAGCAGAAAAAATATATAGCAAAGTTGAGTGGTAAATCCAACGAGTCTAACAAAACTATGAAGTTTACAACCAAGCCATGCCAATAAATAAAATTACTTACAGGGGCATCCTCATCCATTGGCCGACTGCAAAAAAAAATATATATATCAAAATTAATGAAAATAGACGTCCAGTCCTACATTATAAGAGAAAACTAATGACTAATGACTAATGACAATACAACAGACAATGGCCGGCTCAATACATATTATATTAAAAAGGCCCCAAATTTTAGAGTGCAATAATAAGACATAGATCAAAGACTAAAATCCATTATAATTTAGCTTAATGAAAAAAACTCCTGAAACTCTCATCATTTGATTTCAATTTCTGATAAACAAAAGGAAATAAGACTCACACAGACAGTCACCCAGAGAGAGAGAAAGAGCGCGGGCAAACCTGGGATGCTTGTTGCTTCGAAGAGGAGGCGGCGAGAGTGTCTGAGACTCGACGAGGAGGCGCTAGGGATCGATCGACTGAGAGAACAGAAAGAGGCGAGAGTGTCTGAGACTCGAAGAGGAAGAGATGCTAGGGATTTTATTGTTTTTGTGCACACATTAACACGTATATTTTGGGAGAATTATATTCAGACCCTGAGGTTTGTACAGATGTTACATTTAGACTTCTGTTCCCGTAGATATATATCCATTAATAAATTATACTCAGATCATTTAAGTTTATAAGTGTATAATATTTAGATTTCTTAAATATATAATAATATTATTAAATATTTTAAATTTTATAATCAAAATTTATATTTTATTATGTCATTTATTGAAATAAAATCAAAAATAATTTTTTTTTTAAATTCATAATATACAATTATACTATCCATGAAAATAAAACTAAAAAATCAAACAATGAGTCAAATTATAATTGACACAATATCTTTTATCTTTAATTGGAGTAATTTGATCATTTAATAAATTTCATTAATTTTGTAATTAATAAAAGATTTAAGTATAATATTTTAAATTTGAAGAGTCAAAGTATCTATAATTAAATTTCAAAGGGTTTAGATATAATTTACTACTAATTAACATACATTTTTTATTTTTTTGAGCAGCAACTAACATACGGACGACACCATTTAATTGTTATTTGCGTACAAATCTTGAAAGTTTTATGTGTAATATTTTCAAATATTAAGGGATTTAAGCGATTAATGATAAATCTCAAGAAATTTTAATGTAATTCTCCTAAATTTTTTTAAAAAAATGTTAAAAAAAATATACATAGAAAAACATAAATTTTATAAATATTTTGTATTTTTACTCGACTATTTGCAAAATACCAAAAATTCTTTCATCAACTAGCATATTTTTTGCAGAAGTCGATCAGTCGGGTTAGGTAGGATGAGAATTGGTCGAGTACGAGAAAATTTGAACACCCTACATGAAAGATTAAGTCAATACAATAAAATTTAAAATTTAGATCTAAAAGTGTAGTTCATCTCACACATACATATTTTAAATTAGAGAAAAAGGTTAATACTATATATATATATATATATATATATATATATATATATATATATATATATATATATATATATATATATATAATAAGCATCTCTCTTCCATAAATAAAAATAAATCAAATACATTTTATACTTTTCTCAAAATCTATTTTGTTTCCATTTAAACATAAAAACACCAATTAATTAAATTATTTTGTGTAATAATATTTTCATAAGTCTATGTAAAATCTTATAGAAAGTTCTAAAATATTACAAATCCTTCTAAAAAAATATAAAAGTAACCATTTCTAGTTTTGAAAGTTGCAATCTCTGTCGAATTCTTTTAACTATTTTTTCTTTACTCTCACCACTTCTCTTTGACACTTTCTCTCCCTCTCCCTCTCATTATATTACTCTAGTTCTTTGTCGTTATCTCTAACTTTTTTACTATCTTTTTAAAACTTCATTCATTTTATTAATTTGTAAGATGCTAACTTCATAATTGTACCCAATTTATTGTTTGAACATGTCCGATCCCAAAACTTTTAAAACATTCCAAATAAATTATATCGCAACTTTCTGTAAAATATCTAATAATTATTCAAAAAAATTATCATCTTCTTTGAGGTCTCACATGAAATTTCCGCTTTATACCTCAATTTATGTTAAGCCACCCTTGCAATAAACAAGAAAATTAATGCATATGAAAGTTAATTTTAACTACTGCAATATATTTTAGTAATTGAATCTTCAATCTGAATATTGAAGAGTACACCACTAGTAAGCATTTGTTTAAACTTTAATACCTATATTTCCAGATATTTTAAAAGAATAAAAGTGATTTAAATGTATTTGAAACATATCAATTACGACACAATGAACTATGTCTTATGGTTTCATCTAGCCAATAAAATCCTAGTTTGACTCGTGGAAGCAAGAGAACAGAAATTTTGAATTTACCTTACGTTCAATCCAGTTGAAAAAGCTCAAAAAGAAGAGAATCTGTAAATGGAAAAAGATTTCGTGAAACACAAGATGAACATAATTTAATTTTTAACAATTACTGAAGTTCCTTAAACTGAAATACAAGATAGAAGAGATCTTGAAAATCGGTTATGGTTTATAGCAGTGGGGGTTTTTGGCTCCCTTCGATTTCTTGAATTTCACTTAATGTTTGTGAACTTGTTCTAATGGTAAATATGAGCTTATTTATCATACGAAGTAAAGTGCAATTCACAATTTTATAGCAGTTATTGTCAAGATTTCGCCACATGGAGGGCGAATATCAAGGAGAATGGAGAGAAACATTAACTACTTGCCCTCGAAAATTCTTGTATTTTAATTCAAGTAACAATAATATCATGTTTGTATTTTAAAAATAGAATTGATCTTGTAATATTTTATATTTTAAATAATAATTTAATTTTTTTAATTATGTAATTTAAAATTAAAATAAAGAAAGAGGTAAATATGGATTGATGAGATTGTTTGAAATTGAAAAGTGTATTAATTTAACTGTTTGACATTGGAATAGTGTAGAGAAATTGATATTTTTGAGTGAAAAAAAATTTTAAGATAATTTTTGTATTATTGGATCAGAATAGATGAAGATTAGATCAATCTTGACTATTATTGTGTTTTTATAAATTGAGAATTCAATTTTCTATCTAAATAAAATTATTAAAAATAGAAATTAAACATCATAAATATATTTTTATTAAAGAAATATGAATTATACTTTTTTTTGGAAAGTAATATGAATTATACTTTAAGCAAAGGAAAATAATACAAATAATATTTGGGGGAATGAACTGAACTCACATGCCTTAGTTTTGGTCGACAATCGAGACAACATAACAATCTCTAGAAACTAAAAAATGACATCGATAATTTTAATTAGAGATTTTTAATAAAAACAGTTTATGGTAATTCAAAATTATTCAAAATCAAATAAACTACAAAAAGATAGGGATTATTCTCCCATCCCATCTCAATCCACCCTCCCAAGTCAACCCCCGTTCCTCGTTCGAAGCTGAACCAAACCCCCATTCCATCACTTCCAAGTCAATCCCCTTCTCCCACTATTGTCACCATCACCCTAAATTTGAAGTTTAATTAATCAATTTCAAGGTAGTTTAAATAGTAATAAAAACGAACTATAAATTTAGATGTTTTGAATTCGAATATTGACAATCTCATGAGGACAAACTATAAAAAATTTATTTCTCATGAATACTTTACTCTTAACGTGAATGACCTGTTTTTAACAGAATCAGAGATGATTAATCGATTAATCAAACACTCGTGACCAATAAACCAAAAAAATAAGTTGAACTAACCATCTCTGACGTCAGGTTTGAGGCTAAACTAGACATCTACTCCCCCAACCACCCTAACCCATTTCAACTAATTTGTGGTTCCCTCCTGCCTCCTTCTCTATCAAGACTCTTGCCCCCTCCTCTAAGCAATCCATCTACTCTTTCTCTTTATGTTACTCCATTATACAATAGGCAAAATTTGTAAATAACTTGAGAAGGATATCAGGATCACTCGTACAAAATGATTGTTTAGACATTTAGAATATCCCGCACATGCTATTCTACAATTCAATTACAACGTGAACTCTCTCGTTGCTTTATTTTAGGCATTAACTAACATAGTCAATCCCGTATATTGATGAACTTATCTATCTCAAAATTTTGTGGAACTTCTTAGGTTTGATTTCACACACACACACGTCATCAAATATTAATTTTGTTGATATTAGATTTCATGGCTGTAAGACTTTGCTGTCATAACTTATACCACCTAAATAACAACGGCAAGAGAGTCAAATAGGTCAGGAACAAAGAGTCTGAGGTCGGATCGAACGACATACACCTTAGTTGGTCGGACAACCACTAGAAATTGGACACATATATAATCCTTCTAAAAGAAATTCAACTATATATGTATTTATTTTGATTTAAATAGCTACAACACCAAAACGGAGTGCAAAGAACTGAAAGTCATTTTTTTAAGTTCCTCTCATATATATGGCTTACATACCTGGCTCAAAGGGAAAGAAGTGCCGTTCTTTTGACAAAACTTAGTAACTTACGAAATCTGCGTACAATTTGCTGTCTTATTTCTATAGTTTGCCACATTAGGTATGAACATAGTCAAATAATATTTGAACCACCAGCTTGTAGAAGTTCAATCATAATGATTCTATAAACAACAGCCCCTTGTTAGTTCACCCCTGTTTGTAATTTCCTCAACATTTAACAAAAGTACAAAGAAAACAGCCATAGCTGCCCAACACTGTGGGCTACATTGCTGAGTGATGGTGCATTCGTCGTCCCTTCCACCCGCATAAATAACTCGCATGGGAACGTGTTTTTGGTGGTTTTTGTCCATTTATCGTCACATTCGATGCCATGGCAGGGAATTGTTCGATGGCAGGAGTAGGGTTGGGCACTGGTTGAAGTTTAACAAAACTGTCATCTTCGATTCGCTTGTCAAGCCAAGCTATGATGTCGGAGAAGACAATCTCAATGTTATCATCTGGCTCGCCCGATGTCAATCCGTGCCACATCCCAGGGTACAATTTTATGGTCTTGTCCACACTGCTAGCTCGCTCATACAATGCCCTACTCACTTCTGGATCTGTTACTGTATCTGCCTCACCATGCAACACAAAGAATGGTAGTGTTACCTACGAAAAGACACCCAACCAACCTGACATTAGAATCAAAGAGAGTGATGATCTTGACTTGCTGGTAGTTCCTCATAAGTCTTTACCAGGTATACTCAAAGTTCGGTTTTTAAGTTTTAGAATAATGTTAGATGAACTTAAAAACTAGACTTAATAATTTCAACCATTGAATAGGTAGTAGGTCCCAATAAATACTGGGACTCACAGTGAAATCAATGATTGTAATTATCAAGTTTATTTTTTAAGTCCATGTAGCACCATTCAAATTGTTTATGGGTGCGCTAATGACATGTTTGATTCATGAGTTTAGATTGGATAAATGGGATCGATTTGCTAAACAATAATTAGACCAATGGGGTTGGCATTACACTGGTTGGTTGGGGGGTATTTGGGCCAGAGATAAAGTGAGCCATGCTGACTTATATAATCCCACCAACCTAGGTTTGAATGGGAGGGCAACCTTCAATGAGATGATTGTGTAGTCCAACTACGATTTTAACGTTTAATGTGGACATTGACTGAATCGGACAGCATGTATTTTAGTCAATAGAATAACAAAAAAATTGATATTTTTGTTTTTCATTGAATAAAAAACCGTGGCTCCCACATTTTGTCTTCTGATACTTGCCAAACATGGGTTGGGATAAAAAATGTCATGAATCCAGAGTTCGAATCCAATTGGTTGGTACTAAAACGAGTAAAAACATCTGAATCCAATACCATTGAATGTTACCATCTAAATCTAACTTTAGAGATTTGGACACCCTCGGAATGAAAAGAAAAAATAAATAAATTTCAGCAACTTGCAAGTTCCATTTCATTGCCTTTAGATAGAATCAAATCTTAAATATAAAATATACCATGAAAGCAGTAACAAGAAAAAAAAAATGGAATTAGAACGGGACAGAAAATAATTACCTCGCTCAAACTGTCTTCAAGGCTCATGCTAGTCCTGAGCATTTCCAAGGCAGTTTTCAGCCTAGGTTTGTCTTGGTATATGAACTTGTTGTGACGTATCTACACATAATTATGGAGAGAGAGAGAGAGAGAGAGAGAGAGAGAGAGAAGAAAAGATCAACATAGTACACTACAGATTTAGACTTTTTTTGGGCATGTTTGGATGATTTTGGGGTGATGGATTGGATTGGTGTTATTAAATCCTTTCAAATTTAAAACCCCACTTTTGAGTACTTGAATTCATAAATGAATTTCATTCATACTTGTATTTAATAAATAACATACATACATGTAAGACCCATAAATTTATCATTTTTATCATGTAAATGACAATATTGAATCAGGATTGGTTGGATTTGGGTAGATACAAAATTAAATTGACGAGTACTTGTATTTTTTACCAATTGTATCCAGTTTGACCTCTTCAAAACCCACCTCCCTTGGTTTTGCTAAAGCCTATGCTCATGGGTTTAAAGCATTCGAGCCAGGAAAGAATTGGAACTGCAATCTAAGACTTCAAAATTGCCATCCATACATGATTTTTGTTGCGGTTCATTGAACCATTTTTCCTAAACCCATCATACCAAACCCACCAAAAAAAAAAAAAAAACCAATCAAACAAACACGCCATTTCAGTTTCTCTTTCTTCTTGTTGAAAGTTACAAAAAAACAAAGAGGGTAAAGGGTGGTGGTTTTGTTGGGATAAGTCCACTAATTAGGGTGCACATTAGACAAGTCAAACAGAACCCAACCCAAAATATAATATAGTATGAAATTCGCATTGAGATGTTAGGACTAATCTAAATTAGTAAAGTCGGAATTGACTTAAAAATAAATCGGAGTTTCAACTCGAAGTGTGGAAATCCAAACTCACCTCTTCTCGCTTAACTGGGTCCTTGAATGCCGAATCAATGACATCTTTTGCGGGGACTATCTTCCATTTGGGTATGATATCTTCTACCTTAGTCAATATGGTTATAACCATAGGGTGTGGTTTCACCTTCTCAGAAATCTAATATAATGTCAAGAAGGGGAAAAATAAAATAAAAATTAGACACATATTTTTGGTCCTCTTACCGTGGTCCCTACCACATTAAAAACCCCTATCAAATTACCTTACACATGGGTGCCACCAACACAGCACCGTGCCAGAAAGTGGGGCCCTTCTTGTGAATTAGTAGAGCCACTGCACCTCCCATTGACTCTCCATACAAAAACCTCCTCTTCTCCCTGTACTCTTCCTGCGCTGAGCTCCATGTAACCAAACTTTAGGTGGTGTATCACTTATATATATATACACAAATATATTGTACAACACACACACACACACAATTAGGCTACCCCTTCTACCAACCCACATTGACATTTCGAGATTATTATTTTCATGTTTTCCTTATAACTCTCGGAATGTGATTTGTTTGATATGCATGATTTATGAATGACTGAATGCATGACGCATCCGAAGTTTATGGATGATTTGACCGATCAAAAATAAGTAAAGAAAGAAAAAAAAAGAAAGAACTTACAACAAATGGATTTGAAAAAGTGATCGCAATCATTGACAATGTTGTCGAACTTCTTGATGTAACAACGGGCACCCAAGGACCGTCCATGGCCTTCATAATCAATCCCGAATACAGCATACCCGTAATTCGCTAGCCTAGTCCCACACCCTAACAAAAGCACCAAGCCTCACATTATATTGGACCCCAAAATTATATTATTGCCATTTATGCGACCAATAACCTAAGGTAATGTTTGATCAAAAAAAAAATAAAAAAACAAAGGCAATGCATGGTTTGAATTTCTTCAGGTATTTTTCTTTCCACATCTTGGTGGGTAGCAGTCACCTGTCCATGCCCAACAATAAATAGTTTGTTAACCTAAACGACCAACCAAGCTCACCCAATAAATTTTGATAGTCAGAAGTAGACCAACATAGCAGTAAATATAGATTAGTACTTTTTGCCAGATTGCTTTCATCCAAAAACTTGCAGAACAGAGAAAATGGTAAATAGTACTTATATTTTCAATCATAAAAAAAAGTATTTTTTTTTGCATGAGTATTAATATGATTTTGTACCATCTGATGATGAAGGGGATGCAACAAAATTCCAATTTAAACAGACCTGCCCCGTGTTTACTTCGAGAAATATTACGGTCTTCATGAATTGAGGTCACCAAGAAGCAAATGCTAGTTATAGGTGGGGTCGATAATCGAGCTGAATTTTTGCGAGCTTGACTCAAGCCTGTCGAGCTCATTTTTTTAAAAAAATGTTTAAGTTTGACTTGTTTAAAAAATGAGTCAATCCCAATTTGAACCTATAACAAACTGAATCCGAGCCGAACTTGTGTAACTCACCTATTTTACATATAAAAGAGCCAAACTTTGTGAACTTGAGCCGAGTTTTTTAAGTTTATTTTCTAAACGAATCTGAAAAATTGATCAAACTCGGCTCGTTTTAAATACGAGCCGAGATAGATTAAACCCGAGTAATTTGACTCAATTATTAGCCCTAATAAATCATACAACACCTAACAAACTTTTAGTTTGTAAGTCAAAAGGTAAATTACAATGACATCGCCTATAGCTTTGATGATCTTTAAGGGTTCCTCATGGTTTTTTTACAATTACCTAACACTCCATGCTAAAGTTTATTCCTACCAGTGTTACCAAACACAACACAATTACCATATTATTCAAAAAAATATCTGAAAAAGAGGAGGTGGAGTAAAAGAAAATTAATGTTATTTTCTGTCACGACACGTAACTGAATTCAAACAGAATCGACAAAAAGGTTAGCATGGTTTCCACTTTCCTCTAGCTTAGTGGGGTTTACTATGAAGTGATGCCAGAGTAAGGACAAGAGCAAGAGGGGATGGTCATCCATACAGCACAATACTAAGGGTAGACTTTTTCTTATATTTGGTTTATCAGATTAGACCCACAACAATAAAATTGCCTTACAATTAATTATTGCATGCACTCAACTTACTCAGCCAATGAGTTTTTTTTTTTACTACAAAATGTTTAGACCTATACTACTCTCGGGAGCTCAACAATTAGCCTTCGTAGTTTGAATGGGTTAAAACATTTTCGAAAGTTAATCCTTACGAGGCGTGAAACAAGATTGAACTTGATGCCTCTCGATTATCAAAAATCAAACTCAAGAACTGAACCAATTTTAAGGATTCCCAAAAAAAAGTGTTGGAGCTTCAAATTCTTAAATAAACAGTCACGAGATCCAACTAAGTGCAATAAATTCCCAGCTTCCTGAATTTCAAACATTGAGTTATTATAAAATAATCAAAAAGTTTACATTTCCTTTTAGAAAGAAGTAATATGATAGCTAAGTTTAGCAACTCATAATTTCCATCTTGCAGAAAGAAATTGAAATTGAAGGAAAATTAACTAAAAACTTGCGATAATTTGGTCTTTCTTTTCAATTTCAAAACACGGATGTTAAGACAAATGAAACTATGAAAGAAAACAAGAATTTAGACATCAAAATGAAGGAATTGGAGGAACGCAAAGCACATGGAGAAACATTTATTACCTTTCATGAACTCACTGCATTCCATGCCATAACCTGCAACGACAATAATAAGAGTATTCAATATCTGAGCAACCAGAGAGAGAGAGAGAGAGAGAGAGAGAGAGAGAGAGAGAGAGAGAGAGACCATGGCAAAGGAAAACGAGGGCCTTGGGAGAATGAAAAGGCAACCATCTGCAAGTGAAGAGTTGCACTCCTCTAGAATTCCTTATAAACTCCTGATATGCCAAATACACACTACCCATTAACAACACCGTTCTCTTTCCAAATCAAGCAGAAGACAAAAGAACCAAAGCTCTGTGTATATTAAACATGAAAAAAGGAGACCCACCTCCTGATATTCAAACTCCATCTCTTTGAAACACTAAGTACGAACACCCAACTTTAAGCAATGAAAATCAGCATGCTCCCTTTCTCAAGTTCCAGATCTGAAAGGCTTGAGGATTGTATACATGGAGAGAGATAGACAGACAAACAGGCAGACTCTTGTGATTTCAGAGGATGGGACTTCTTCCTCAAAAAGGACTCCAGACTTGCGAGGTGAGAGAGAGAGAGAAAAGACAAATAGGTTTGATTATTTTGGTTATGGTTCGTTTCGTTGACATTAATTAGAAAGTTCAACATTTCAGAGGCTTTTTTTTTGTTTTTTTGAGAAATCACATTTCAGAGGTTACGTGTAATGAACTCGATCGCCTCTTCCAGATAGAGATATAGTTAGATAGGGATAGATGTATATTAGTACATATAAATTAGTACACTTGAATTCATATAAATGTGTGCGGTGACGAAGGCTTCGGACCCACCCTTTCGGTTACTGTCTATCCTTATCACGAATCCCGATATTTATAGCTAGCTAACGTGATTGTGGTGTATCTATCTATCTATCATCAGTCTGATCAGTTGCTTACCCCCGTCATTGGTGTGGTGCTAGACAGGAGTTGTCACTTGTCACGGTGTAACGTGTTAGAATAAACGGTGATTAGCATGGATGCAGGAGATGGACGATATATGATTTTAATTTTTTCGGTGCCATAATTAAACTGTGATACAATTTCTTGACATGGACTATGCACAAAAAGGTGAAGTGGACTTTGGACACCATATGAGTTCATATTGCACAGATGTGAAAGTACTTGCAAGGCCCGTGAGGCTACAGGATGAAGAGTAAAAGGACTAATTTAACCTTTGGTATGACACATATTATTTCTTCCGGTACATTATGTATACGACTAATGTTATCGAGACTTAATTTATTAATATGATTTGTAGATGTAATTTATTATAATCTTTGAATTTACTATAAATTTCATTCAACATTAAAATTTAGTGTCAATTCAATAATTTTTATAATATTATATTATTATATTAATAAATTAGATCACATTTTTAATTTTAAATAACATTACTCATCTACTCTAAAGATTCAAAGCAAGGAAGTTTCCCGGCACGAGAGTGCTTTAAATTTTAAGAGGAATGATAAGAATTATGATCTCAACCACCGACACTGACACACTCAACAAATGGCTCAAGTTTTGCAGAGAATGATAAAAAAATTTGAGCACTGGAGCGCACATAAGCTAGGTCAAGTTTCGAAGAAAATGATAAACAATTATGAGCTCCAAGTCAACAACATGTTGATGCACTCAATAACTAGCTCATCAAAGCTTCAAAATCCATATGAACCTCCAAAGACATTGGCTAGTTTTGCTGTACACACTTGAGAGAGAGAGAGAGAGAGATGTAAGCTGTCATAAGTCATAACCCATGTAAACCATAGATTGTGTGGCTTGTGGATGGAGGTTGTTGTTTCTTGGGAAAGCCAAATTTGGGTTGACGAGTCAACCCAAAAATAAAATATTAATGGTATTTAGATCTAAAAATTTGACATAATTTATTGATGTAATAATATAGTTGTATTAAAAATCATTACATCAATAATAAGTTTCAATATTTGATGAGCTCTATAGTGAATTCAAATATCATAATAAATTAAGTTAACAAATTAGGTCAATAAATTAAGTTCAATAATATTGCTCAAAACATAATCCTAACCAGATGCATGAAACGTGCAAATGAGATAGGGAGATTGAGCAGATGGAGACGTGCTCCGTGACAGGAATGCCTCGATGCAACGGATCGAAATCAAATGTTCCCATTGTAAGCAGACCCATAGAGCATTGATGGTCCAACCATGGGTCACCAACTTCTTTTAAGTGGGTCCATCTAAGAACTTTAATTTTAGCTTAGAAATTATAGTAGAAAATATTGTGAGAGAAAATTTATAAATTACAATAGAAAATGATAGTCATCTTCACATTATATATTTTTCCTTAATTTCATTCAATGACACGTATAAAGAATGATAATAAATATAACTATTGGATCTATTTAAATTCAACCTCAAGGGATTATTCAAGTGTTAAACAAGAATAAATTGTAAACCCCAACGTTCTGAATTGGAACCTTAACAAATTTTTAGAGTCAAGTCATGAGAGATATATGATATATCTCTCATTAATATCTTAGTTGCGGTATGAATGGCTACATTTGATCGAGTCAGGGAGGAAAATAATCGAAGTAGGCGTAACGTGGGTGGAACAGCTTGGTCCATTGAACAAAAAAAAAAAAATCATGGTATATGATGCATTATTGAACGAAATTGTGATTGGAATTCCTCTTTCAATGGATCCACTATTAGGCCCACCTTATTGGGTTATTGTCTGGGTGTGATTGGGCCTTATCAGGCCCAATTTGTTGGGCAATTGTCCGAGTCATATTAAAACATTGGGCCTTATGAATTACATCTCTCCGCTCCAGTATACAACAAATCCGATCCAACTCACGGACCAAATGAAACCCTAAACCTCAGCTCCTATTTCATCAACTCCCTCCACCATTTCAATCTTCACACACATCCGGTAGCAGTCGGCCGTTTTTCCCTTCGAACAGGTAGATACCACCTTTCTGTCTCTCTCTGAGTGTGTGTGTGGACGCAAACGCTATTTCTAATTGATTCGATTGCAGAGAAGAGTGAAGCAAAGATGAGTCGAGGGGCAGGAGTGGTAGCCAAGGGGAAGAAGAAGGGAGCGAGTTTCGTGATCGACTGCTCGAAGCCGGTGGAGGACAAGATCATGGAAATCGCATCTCTGGAAAAGTTCCTCCAGGAGAGAATCAAGGTCGGCGGCAAGGCCGGTGCTCTAGGCGACTCTGTCACCGTCACCCGCGAGAAGACCAAGCTCATCGTCACCTCCGACGGCAACTTCTCCAAAAGGTAATTTCCATTCAGCTATCTGTATACAATTTTGGTTCCTCTTTGGAGAAGTATATGTGTATGTGCGTGTGTATTGTCGAAGATCAACATGAAAAACTTTATGGCGACACCTCTGTGAGGGTATCGATTGGTTAGTTTCAGATTTGTTGTGTGTTTGATTGATGGGCTTATTTTGTGTCACTATTATAATTTTAATTGTCTCGAGGAATTCAAAGCAGTAGATGGTTTTTGAACCAGATATTGGGCGTTGCTAACTTCTAGAAATTGCCATTTTTTCATGTCTCTAATTGATTGCCTCTCACATAAGTGATATCATTACCTGCCCACATTGGAGTGCATGAGTCTTCGACCTGAGTATTTTCATCTGTTTGTCATATGTTTTGCAAGTTTGATTAGCTGTCCTTCAAAATTCAGGAGGATGAATTGTTGTTAGACATATTGACATATTGTGGAAGGGAAGGAGATTTGCAGTGAGTCAATCCCATTGATGGCATGTAGAATGATAGAGCTCAGCGGTTTTGTTAGTGGTAGTTAGAGTATGATCTTCGTTCAGACCAGACAGATTACATATGATCATTACATATCTAAATTGTGCCAGCACCATCAATCATTCTATTTTTCATGAATTGTTTTAATCACAAGGTGGTGGTAATATGATGGGTTGCCTGACGACTTTGGTTGGAGAGACTTCATTTTTTTGCTTCTACATGCTTAGTTTAGTTCTTTGCTGGTTTGTAATGTTATCTATTTTCTATCAAGTAAGAGTTGTTTCGGCTATCATACCCTAATATATTCTGCTAACCCTCTATCTGCAGAGAACTATTCATTGATTACTTATCTTCATGTGCTCCACAGGTATCTTAAGTATCTAACAAAGAAGTACTTGAAGAAGAACAACGTGAGGGATTGGCTTCGGGTGATTGCTTCCAACAAAGATAGGAATGTTTATGAGTTGCGGTACTTCAACATTGCTGAGAATGAGGGAGAGGAGGAAGACTGAGGATACAGTTCAGTGTTTTATAACATTATCTGTTTGTCTTGGCTTTCAACTTTTAGAATCTGTTTTTTTCTTCTTCACCTTTTTGAGCTATGAACCTATTGAGTTGTTTTGTATTTTTCCCAATCTATGTTCTCTTGTGATTTTGTTAACTAATACTAGGACATCTCGATTTGTTATTGCCAGATTTGGTTAGTACAATAGTTATTTATCCCAGAATGTGGATTATGAAAATTGGTATGGTGGCTAAGTTTTACATTTGACGTTGATGGAGGTTATTTGGGGTGCTGAAAATTGATGGTGGTTATTTTTTGTGCATTTCTTGTCTTATTATAGTTCTTCCTGAGATTTTTTTCCCTCATTTTAACCTACTTTTTTCTTAGCTTGCCATCCAACCTGTAGTTTGATGGTTTGGCCTGTCATGCTTCTTGAATGAAATAGCAAATTGTGCCTCTCTTCTGCCATAGGATGTTTCCTGTTGTTAGTTATTGGCAGATAGACTTGGAGAGTCACCAAAGGTGTGATCAACTCTAGTGGAAATGGGATGTTGGGATGGTATGTAGACTTATAGATGTATTGTTTGCAGCGATGTCTTGAAAATGTCATGGTTGCAGCTGTGAATCCACTTGGCTCTAAGCCCATTATAATGTTGGTCTGTGTTCAATTAGACGAAAGTCAATTTTAAATTCTTTCATCAAGCCGTAGCGCTGAGTTATAAAATTGATTTTGTGGTCATCTTTAACAACTAAAGTACTAATTTTGTTTGTGTACGGCAGATTAGCTCCTGTGGCTAATTTTCGCTGGCGTCTCTGGTGAAAGGCCAAAGAATAGTTCTTTGCTCATGGAGTTCTCTTATCTTTACCAAACTGCCGAAGGATCACGAAAGAAAATGAATCTAAACTTTAGATCTTGGTTTGATACGAGTTATTTGTGATCATTAATTATGAAATAATATAATAAATAAAATTTAACAATATTACTAAAAAATAATTTTTTCTATGCCATAGTCTATTCCTATTTTCAGACCTTTGAACAAAAATATATGCCTCATCAAAATATATATATATATATATATATAAACGTTTCTTGATTTTCTTAGCAAAAATCATTTTTTTTTTTGGGCTTGGGGGGGGGGGGGGGGGGGGGTTGAAGAATGGATTAACTGCTTTGGGCGCCTTTAGTACCAGAAATGCAAGTGTATACCAAGCTCACATCCACCGCACACCCATGTCTCAATCTTTCCCACCCAACAGTAGAATCCTTCGTATGGAACATCCTTATTCGAGCCCATTTCCAACGCAAGGCTCTGCTCACAAATCCCACCGATTCCCCACTCTCAGTCTTCTTACGCATGCGCTTCCATGGTGTCGAAGCCGATTTCCACACCTTCCCTTTCCTCCTCCAGTCCTTCAATTCTCCATCTCACCTCCATTCAGGAAAATCTATTCACGCCCAAATCACACATTTTGGACTCTCTTGTGATCCCTTTGTGCAAACATCCCTCGTCAACATGTACTCATCTTGCCGCAATTTGGGCTCTGCGCAACGTGTGTTTGATGCGATACTACAACCCGACTTACCCTCTTGGAATTCTATTCTCAACGCCAATGTTAAAGTGGGTCTCATTGATGTTGCACGGAAATTGTTTGATCAGATGCCTCAACGAAATGTTATATCTTGGAGTTGTATGATGGATGGGTATGTCAGGCGTGGTCACTACAAAGAAACACTAGCTTTGTTTCGGGAGATGCAAAAATTGGAATTCAATGATGTCATGCCTAACGAGTTCACCATGTCCGTTGTGTTTTCTGCTTGTGGCCGATTAGGGGCACTTGAGCATGGAAAATGGGCACATGCATATGTCGATAAATGTGGGATGAAGGTTGATGTGGTCTTGGGGACTTCTTTGATTGACATGTATGCTAAATGTGGGAGTATTGATAGGGCAAGGTGGGTGTTTAACCATCTGGGTCCAATTAAAGATGTGATGTCTTGGAGTGCCATGATCTCGGGCTTGGCTATGCATGGGCATGGCGAAGAGTGCCTTGATTTATTCTCAGAGATGGTGAATAATGGAGTGAGACCCAATCCTGTGACTTTCTTGGGTGTCCTTTGTGCTTGTGTACATGGAGGATTAGTGAGTGAAGGTAAGGAGTATTTTAGGAGGATGAGCAAGGATTTTGGTATTGCTCCTTCAATCCAGCACTATGGTTGCATGGTTGACCTTTATGGGAGAGCTGGTCTCATAGAGGAGGCATGGGTTGTTGTAAAATCTATGCCTATGGAGCCAGATGTGCTTGTGTGGGGAGCTCTTCTAAGTGGATCTAGGATGCATGGGGACATTGAAACTTGTGAAGCTGCGCTCAGAAAGCTAATTGATTTGGAACCAACAAATAGTGGAGCTTATGTGCTCCTATCTAATGTGTATGCAAAGATGGGTAGATGGAAAGATGTTAGGCATGTCAGAGATCTTATGGAGGCAAAAGGTATAAGAAAAGTTCCAGGGTGCAGCTTGGTTGAGGTTGAGGGTGTCGTACACGAGTTTTCTGTGGGAGATAAGTCTCATCCAGACACGAGAGAAATATATATGATGCTCGAGGAGATAATCGACAGGTTAAAACTGGAGGGCTATATAGGCAATACGAAAGAGGTATTGCTCGACTTGGATGAAGAAGGAAACAGATGGCACTCTCACTACACAGTGAAAAACTAGCCATTGCCTATGCCATTTTAAAGACAAGTGCAGGCACATCAATACGCATTGCTAAAAATCTTAGGATATGTAATGATTGCCATGTTGCGATAAAGAAGATATCTGGGGTGTTTGGCCGTGAGATTGTCGTTAGAGATTGCAATCGGTTCCGCCATTTTACTGATGGAGTATGCTATTGTAAAGACTACTGGTAACTTAAAAGGAATTTGCCGAATTTTCATGAGGAATTATTTCTCCAATTCTTGACCGTGTACTTTTTAACACCATTTAGCTCAGCAGGATTGGAAACCTGACTGCTCAAAGTGGAGCAAAGTTCATTGGATTTCATACAAGGTCTCCTGCTAGTGCCTCTCGTTGTTCCATAGCTTAATAGAGGGTTCACCAGAAACTAATCCACTGTTTGAGGTGACAATTAGGCAACAGTTTTTAGCTGATGCAAGTTGTTGTACCAACTTTTTTTTTTCCATTTGCTATTTTCCTTTCTCTTTTTTCCCCGGGTAGTTGTCGCTTCTGTTCACAGTTTCTGTTGCTTTCTTACGGACTTACTGAAGCACACGCCACATATGTAATTTAAAGTTGTGTCGAATTGCCATTCAAAGCTCGACAACAGCACATTTCAGTGAGGTAAATGTACTTGTAATTTGTGTTGTACATCATACAAAATCTTTTGGTTATTCAATGTTGAAAATTCCGCAGAGACCGAAGAGCGAGTAGGTTGTACCCATCACAAAAAAGGTGCTGGAACGCTTTGGCATGTAGGGGTCAAAACCTGTGAGTACTCCGCTTGCTGCTCATTTCAAATTCTAAACTGCTTTGTCACCACAGACTGAGGAGGAGATGGAACACATGTCACGTGTTCCTTATGCTAGTTGGAAGCATTTTGTATGCTGTGGTGTGCACTAGGCCAGAAATTTTACATACTGTAAGCGTGGTGAGCCGATATATGGATCGGCCATGGAAGATCCATTGGCAGGCTATGAAATAGATACGTTGATATAGATGCTTTGATACCTACGAGGTAGCACAAATGTTGGGCTGGTAAATGACTGGGACAATAACATTTCTAGTAGTCCTTGATATGTATACCTTATTGCATCTGGAGGGTGAATAACCATTTTAACAATATAAACGGGTTGTGAGAGACTTTGTCATGTACAGGCTCTCTAACTTTAGCCACAAACCTATGGCTGCAGTTTCATTAGCAACTTCTCGCAACACCTTATTGCTAAGGCTCAATGTGATATCACTATGTGCTTATGTCTTTCTTTTCTTCGTCTAACATTGTTGCGGGAAAGACATCTTTCTCCTCTGCATCTCTTTTTTTTTATGTCTTTCTGCAATCCTTGTTAACCAATAAGACATGTATCTTTAAACGCCACTTGTTGAAATCGTTGCTTTCGTTGAATTTTTTTACCTCAAACTTTGCGGTCATTGCAAAATCTTCAAATCAAAATTCCGATAGAATCGGAACGTTAGCATCGATAAATAGTACCGAGTGAAGAATAGTGCTAGGTGAATAGTACCCAAACCCACCAATGTTGCTCGTGCCCACTAATTGTGAATAGTGTCGATGAATAGTATTTGGTCCTCTCGTTCTGAGAGTTCTTCCCCCTAGTTAGGGTTTTTTTGAGGGTTTTCCTCATTGATCTTCTTGATGATTCCAGTGGCTCATGACTTCTTGATTCCCAATGCGCATTGGTTTATTGCATTTTTAGTTTCCGATTTAGGTACTTGCCCTGTTATCTCCTCTGTGTCTTTAATGCGTTACTAATCTTTGATCTACCCTCTTTTGCTTTCATCTGTCTGCGTTTCTATTTTCTTATCCTATCCTTCCACACTCCTTTCGCTACTTCTTAGTCTATCATTTTTGTTCTTCTTTTCTATTTTCTCATTCTTCGTCCTAGATCTTTGTCTGTCTTCTCTTAGCGCTTTGTTGGGTCCGATCGTTGAGGGTATTTATCTTCTTTCTTTGTGGGGTTTTCATCGTGCCATTTCTCTTCGTCTATTTTGCTTCTTCAGCTGTCATCCTCTTTATGGCCAATGTTTTCGATGCTGATTCACATCTTATCCCTCCCCCTCGTATCTCCCTGTTTTCTAATCCTTCCACCTCCAAGAATGTCGAAAAACTTTGTCTTGTGGGTCGTTTCTTTACAGATACAAATCTTAACAAGCAAGGTGTGTGTAATGTTTTGCAAAGCTCATGGCAAACTGCTCAGGGCTTCTCGATTACTTACTGTGAGAAAAATACATATATGTTCATGTTCAAGGAAGAAAGTGATAAAGTGAAGATATTAAACGAAGGCCTCTGGTCTGTTATGGGGGCCTTGCTAGTTTTGAAAGAGTATCAGCCCCAAAGAATTCTTGGGGACTTTGAATTTCATTTTATGGAGTTTTGGGTTCAGGTAAGGGGGTTGCTGCTGGATATAATGACAAAAAATAACTCGTGGAGAATTGGACGTGTTATTGGAGAACCTACCCAACTGAAGGAGTTCGATGATGAGGTACAGTTTCAACGAAACTATATGAGGGTCAAATGCAGGATTAATCTTCGGGAGCCTTTGAAAAAAGGTTTCTTTCTTACTAGGGACAATCAAGAGGATATTTGGATTGCTTTGAACTACGAGCGCCTGTCTGATTTTTGTTATTTGTGTGGAAGAATTGGGCATTCTCAAAGTCAGTGCAAAGAGAGGGGTTCTCTAGGTTCAAAGAGTCAGTTGGGCTTGATCTTCGCGCCCAAAACGGTTCTTTTTCGAGTTTTTTCAGGGAATCATGGTCATTGAAAGCGCGAGAGTCTATGGGAAAAAAAGAGCAACTTAAGGGGAAGTTGCATGTTGATGATGGAGAGCGGTTCAATCAGAGCTTGGGAGCAGGCCATCTGCTGACTTTGCCCTACCGACTAGAGGTGCCCAGCAGGAACAGGGGGTCACGCTTTTACGTAACAAGCAGGGTCGACAGGGTAATTCCTTTTCTTATTCTACTCCCCTTGCTGTTGTGCCATTTTCGAGTGGGGACTAGGAACGGATCACAATTCCTTTCTATCGGCTTCCAACGAAGATTCTGGTTTGTTGGTGGCAGTTAAGCGTGGTTCTTTCTATGTTTTTCACTCTTCCCATAGTATGGAGGCCTAGATTTCAGGTGGTAGGGAGGTTCATGTTATCTCGGATAACGGTACTTCAGTGCCTGGGGAACAAATGGAGGTCCACTTCCAACAGATGTCTCTGAAAAGAAAAGCCCAATATGACTTATCTGAGTTGGATGGCCAGTCCATGAGACTTTAAAAACACACATTGCAACCACATTCTTTGCCTTTGATCCCATCCAATACTTTTCCCAAGTTGGGCTTTCTTTGGTTCCAGATTTTTCCCTACGGGATATTGAGGGAATGAGAGTTCCCAACACCCATCATTGAAGGGTTAAACGCAGGGCTGGAAGGAAGTATATTCTCAGTAATTCTTCTGACTTAATCTTTGCAGCCATGGAGGACTTGGAGTAGCGTAAGCCCCAACAACATGATGAGGAGGAAGTGGTTGGTTTTGAAGGCCGAGGGGAGAACAATCTTGACCAGAGCATGTCTCATTGGTTCTCTCAACCTTCCTATGCCATGACAGAGGTGGAGAATTCTGTTTGTCAATTGGATAAGGTGGTAGTGGCTGACCTTCAACAGCCACACGCCTCATGCTAGTTCTATCCTGGAACTGTCAGGGAGTTGGGCGACCCCCGGACAGTCCGCAATTTAAGAGGGCTAATTCATACCCATCGCTCCTCAATTGTTTTTCTTATGGAGGCTAAAAATTTGTCCCATAAGTTGGAGCGATTGAGAAGATCCTTACATTTTAGTTATGGGGAGTATGTTGATCCAGTGGGACTTTCAGGAGGCATGGCCTTATGGTGGAACGAGGAGGTTACTCTTCAAGTTGGTACTATTAACAAGAATATGATTGATATTTTTTGTCATTCTCAACATATTGCTTTTGGCTGGCAATGCACTTTTATTTATGGTGATCCTAAATATGATTAGCGACAATGAACTTGGGATTGTCTTAAGATTTTGGCTAGGGTTGTTGATTGTCCTTGGATAATTGTGGGTGATTTCAATGTTATACGTTCTTTGGCTGATAAGAAATGAGGTATTTCATCTTGCTTTAGGAGAGTTGAGGAATTGCAAACCCTTATTTCTGACTGCTCTCCCTCAATTTACTTGGTCAAACAATAGGCCTGGTGCCGCTAATGTGTAAGAACGGATCGATCGGGTTTTGGTGAACTCCTTGTGGTGTGAATCCTTCCCACATACTCATGTTGTCCATGAGGCTTGGCTGGGATCTGATCATTGTCCAATTGTGGTTGATTTTGGTGGGTCATCTAGGAAAGGTTAGTTTTACTTTAAATTTGAGAGCATGTGGCTGCAGGATCCTGATTGTGCTGATGTCATTAAGGTCAATTGTATCCAAGGACAGTCCTGTTCGCCTTTTCTCACTATATCTAATAATCTGGAGAGGTGCAGATCCCGCTTGTTGACTTGGAGTAGACATAAATTTGGTAACAATCGAAAAATTCTCAGAGGTCTGGAACATGAGCTACTTTTTCTTCAGTCTCTTACTCCATCTGAAGAGTCTTTGCTTAGAGAGGCTGATTTATGTTCCCGGATTGATGCCGTTAGGAGTAGAGAAGAACAGTATTGGAAACAAAGATCGCGAATCCAATGGTTGTAGGGAGGGGATCAGAATACTCGATTTTTTCATCTGTCCACTATTCAGAGGAGGATGCGCAACAATATTGTCAGATTGAAGTCTTCTGATGGTGACTGGATCGAAGGTGAGAAGGAGATACAAGAGCACATCATTGATTATTTTCATAAGCTGTTTGAGTTCACTGGAGTTAGGGACTGGTCTGATCCATTTTCCGTGGTGTATAATAAAGTGTCTACTGATATGAACCATGCCTTTTTGCGTGAGCCTTCTATTCTTGAAGTGCGGCTTGCGGTCTCTGAGTTGGGAGCTCTCAAAGCACCGAGTCCTGATGGCTTCCTTGGAATTTTTTTCCACCACTTCTGGCACATTGTTAGGGATGATGTTTTTCTGATGGTCAAAGATTTTTTTGATAAGGGCCATCTTCCAGCTGCTCTTAACCATACTAATATTGTTTTGATCCCCAAAAAGAGGCTCCGGAGTCTATTTTTCAATTTCGACCAATTGCCTTATGTAATTTTGCGCATAAAGTGATTTCGAAGGTCATGGCCAATCGACTGAAAGGTATGTTGGGTTCCATTGTCTCCTCTCATCAACTGCTTTTATTCCTAATCGACTTATTCAGGATAGCATTTTTATTGCCAATGAGGCTTCCACCACCTGAAAGGCAAAAAACATGGTAGAATCCCGGATATGGCTATTAAGATGGACATTAGTAAGGCCTATGATCGTGTGGAATGGGACTTTCTGGAAGCCACATTGATCTCTTTGGGTTTTGATTGTTGGTTTTGATTGTTGATGGGTCCGCCTTGTTATGCAATGTGTTTCGACTGTCCCTTACACTGTGGTGTTGAATGGGATGCATATTGGTGAAGTGTGACCTAATAGGGGTCTTCGACAAGGTGACCCATTATCTCCTTATTTGTTTATTTTTGTGGTTGATATTCTGTCCTCCATGATTCTGAAGAGCTTAAATGATAAGAAACTTATGGGAATTAAAATTAAGAGGAGAAGTTCTGTCATTTCTCATTTGTTTTTTGCAGATGATTCTCTCTTTTTTCTTAAAGCAAAGGAAGGTTATGTCCGGGAATTCATTCGTATTCTTCAGTGCTACTATACTGCTTCTGGGCAGTGTGCCAATCTCCTTAAATCGGGTATTATTTTCTCTAAGAATGCTTCTGTGGATCAGAGGTCCTTTTTTTGGGGATGCAACCTTTTCCTCATCATGCTAAATATTTAGGCAGTCCTTCTTCTTGGGGTCGTTCCAGGAGTGAAGTTTTTGGTTTTTTGTTGAACGTGTTGTGAAGAAACTTCAAGGTTGGAAATGCTCCTGCTTGTCTCAAGTTGGTAAGGAAATTCTTATCAAAGTGGTTATCCAAGTTATTCCCAATTATGCGATGTCAGTTGTGGCGTTTCCTAAAAGTTTTGCTCCAAGTTAAACAAGTATGTTATGATGTTTTGGTGGAAGGGGACAGCTGAGACGAATGGTATCTCTTGGAAGGACTGGAGGAGTATGACTAGTTCCAAGGCTTCTGGAGGCATGGACTTCAAGGATTTTTATTTATTGAATCAAGCTCTTTTAGCAAAGCAATGTTGGAGGCTTATCTCTCAGCCGGACTCTTTTTGGGCTAAATTCACTAAGGCCATTTATTTCCCCACTGTTGATGTGATGCAGGCCACCCGTGGCCGTAGACCTTCCTGGTTTTGGAGCAGTCTGTTGCATGGCAGAGTTTTACTTGAAAAATGGCTTATGTGGCAAATTGGGGATGATAAGATGGTTGATTTTTGGACTGATAAATGGATTCCTCGTCCCCCCTCTTTTGCTATCACTTCCCTTGCTCCCCTTTCTTGTCATATTGCTAAGGTAGCTGATGTTATCAAGGCATTTCCTTGTCAATAGGACACCGCCAACTTAGCTGTTATTGTTACTGCGACGGAATTCACGGCAATCACTGCTATTCCATTTTCGTCCAGAGGCGGTTGTGATAGACGTGTTGGGAGACCCAATAGAATGGGTTGTTACACTGTTAAGTCTGGCTATTTTTTGGGTATTTCTTCTAGACATATCCTTGAGAATGGCAGTACCTCTTCTTCCCCTAATTCCAATCTTTGGAAGTCTATTTGGCAAATGAAAGCTCTCCCTAAGGTTAAGCATTTTTGGTGGCAAGCCTGTCACAACATTCTTGCCACACAGGAGAATTTATTTAAAAGGAAATGTGTGCCTTCACCTTGTTGCCCTGTTTGTTTGGAGGCCTCTGAATCCATTGAGCATATTTTGTTTGAATGTGGTTGGACCAAACGGGTTTGGTTTGGTATGGACTTGTTATTTGGCTGGGAAGATGATTCTTTTTTTTCTATTATTCATCGGACCTCTTGGATTTTGGATTCTGTTGTTGATGCCTAGTTTAGGCTTCTGATTCTAGGTAAAGTGGCTACTGTGGGATGGGTTATCTAGAAATCCAGGAATATGAAGGTCTTCAATGCTGTGGAGGTTGATCCTTTTGCATCGGTGGTTCGTACTCAACATCTCTGGAGTGATCTTTTTCAAGCATCCTCTCATTCCCAGTTGGGCTCTGAAGTTTCTGTGTCTTAGGAGGTTTGTTCTTCTCATTCCTAGGCCTGATCTTCTTGTCTGCTGTGATGGCTCCTATTCTTCCATTTCTAGGAAGGCACCATCTGGTGTGGTGATTTGTAAGGAGGATGGTGAGCTGGTTTTTGGTGCTGCCAAGTTATTCTCTGCGAAGTCCTCTTTGATTGCTGAAGCGGAGGCGGTGCGCCAAGCTTGCCTGACTGTTGATGCTTTCAAATGTTTCTATTATGAATGATTGCTTAAGTATTATTAAGTTAAGCTCTACGGAAGATGTTCTTCCGTGGGAAATCAGCGTCATTATGAACGATATTAGGTTTTATGCTAGGTTACATAACCTAAGCTTTTTACACAAGCCTAGACCTTGTAATAAGGCTGCTCATTGGATGACAACTTCTTATCTAACCAATTCTCTTCCAACGGATTGGTTAGGCTCTCCCTCTCCCGAGCTTACGACTTCCCTTCTTTTTGATTGTAATCAAAATTTTCCAACTTAATATTATGTCTATGATCCTGTTTATGATCAAAAAAAAAAAATGAATAGTATCTGGACCCACCAATAGAGTTTGGCTCCACCGGTAGTGTTTTGGTCCACCAACAATGCTTTGATACCAATTTGTTACGACAAACTTACAATTTGAATACCGGGGTAGACAATAAAGTGATAAATGACAATAAATAAATTAGGCACACACAAATGGACACAAAGAGATTTACATTGTTTGGCTGTTGCCTACGTTTACGACAAACAATGACAGATATTTTCACTATACAGTAAAACAACAGTACAAAAACAACTATTTTTTATCTTGCAAGTACTTATTCCTACTAGAGAGAATGCACTCTTACCTCACTGATATCACTCACTCTCAAATGTCTCAAAACTCTCTACACTCAGAAAGAAAGACTTCTAATTTTCAATACCTTCATCCAACCCTGAGCATCCCTTTATAAGAGAATTTTGAAGAGAAAACGATCAATCCATCAAATGTGCAATTAGATCTGTGTGATTGAGTCACCAGACAAACCACTTGAAAATTCATGTGGTGAGAACTCATGCCAAAAATTCATTCAAAATCTTGACTTTTGTGGCATCTGATTTCAGGACACAAATGGCCAGGGCCTTGTTACCACTTTTTCAACATGTTACTATTAGGAACAGCCGTGATTCTATGAACATTTGCTTTATTTGTCGAATCTTGATGATAGTTAAGAAGATAAAAAATTAATTATAAAAAAGAAAAAGAAATGATAAACTGTATAAAAATAAAACATCGCATCAATAATATATGAAGTTACTAAGTAATTAAAATGACTAATGAACCCCACTAATCATATAGCTACCAATAACTATTGAATGCAATAAATAATATGTTACATTGAATAGATTTTGTCTGTATTTAAAAAAAATTCGATATTAAAACGAAAGTTATTATATTTTAAAGTCAACTTTTATTTTTTTATGATGAATTTATAATTTGTTATAGGTATGGATAATTTCTCATAATATTTCATGATTAATCAATAATTATCTCAAATAATTATAAAATCATATTTTAAATTTTGTAACTTAAAATTATATATTTTTTTATCAATCATAATTACACAGGTAGATTCTTGCAATAGGTTGAGAAAGCGACTTGTCAAATGATCCAGAGTGAAGAACTTGAAAACCACCAAACAATTAGGAAAGGGCCCGAGTGTGTACCCAACTAATCCTCTCTGAAATTTAAATCAGTCGGCATATCGATCATAATGCACAATGTCTTCTTCATTAGAGATTGCGTACCTTGGTCTAACCTTTGTGAGGAGTATTTATACTTGGGTTTGCAATGATGGCCCTGCCTTTGAGTCGCATCTTAGAGTGTAATGCCTTGTGCTCATCTTCTAGCATAATGATTAATGAGAGTCATTCCATCGAGTCTCGTTAAGATTAGTCCTCCCAGACAAGTGAGCCCTTACTTAGGAATCGCCAAACATTTATGGCTCAATCCAAGTCATTAAATACCGAAAAATATTATGTAATTCAAATTTATATTTCAAATGAAAGAGAACCATTGGATGAGTGGATTCCATCAATTTTTTTAAATGAAATCCACCGATTTAATGATTCCTCTTCATTTGGGATGTAAATTTGGGTTATATAGTATTGCTCATAACTACCTTATATTGACGCTTGGAATCTATGCCCGAACTTTTATGAGAAGGGATAAACATTCCTCAGGTTGTCTCGAGGTCTTCATGTCGGCACGATAGTCATTAATATCTTCTAATAATTACTGTCTTTACACTTTTCGAAGATTTGGACACTCATTAATACTTCTATCAAATATTGAAGACTCACATTAATGAACTGTCAAATTTTATTTAATGCTAAGTTTTGAAGGGCATACTCGACCCTATTTGACCTAATTTCTTGACGCCACTCTCAAGCACGTTTTATGCGTTTTAACAATTATAATTATCCATGTGTTGACTTTTTATTGACTAATCCCGTAATATCCAGTCGATAATATATTATAATTGATCATGTTTTACACAATTTTAAGGTGTACCTCAAAAAACATGTGCAATCAAGCCGACAAAAACTACAAAGGAAAATCGTCCTCACTCACGCCTGCCTCTTGCGACGTGTTCACATACACACACACACAAACAACGTCTACGTGTAGGAGTAAATATTGAATGGAATGATCGGTGACACAATGACGTGATCAACAATAAAATTTTAAGTGAGAAAAATAAATTTTATTTAAGTTTACACGATAAAAAGATGGAGAATTATTTGTTTATAGAGTAATGTAATAGTTTCAACGAAATTACGTTATTATGTTAATAAATTATATCTGATTTTTAGATCTTAATAGCATTACTCTTGTTGAGGATAGTTATTAAAATATAGTGTTAAAAAAAAAAGTTATTAAAATATATTTATTTATTTATTTTAATATTATTAATTAATAATATCACCTTATTCACGTGATATTTTGTAATGAATATTTTCTACTACAAGTAGAGGCATCTAGGATTTCTCCTTTCAATTCGGAAATCTCCGTGACTCTCGGTATATCTTTTTCCCTTTCCATTCTTAAGAAAACATCAGCTGTGTCGTTGGCACTCCGGCTATCGTCAGGCGATCTGTACTCCTGCTTCTTCATCTGGTATGTAGGTCCTTCTTAAGTACTTTTCTTTGTAATCTTCATGATTCTTTTGTTGTTTGAATTATTTGTTTTTCAGACTCGTTCAACATTTGTCTAGTTGAGGGGGCCTGTAATGTGGGGTCTCTGTTAAAGATCCCTTGCTTGATTACATCGTTTGATTCAATCGTATTCTTTTATCTCTATCCCTTTGGAAGATGAATTCTCAGTTCTTCTGTGGTTGTTGCGGCAGTTTGGTTCTCTCTGATTTGGGTAAAGAGCTGTTTTGCGTATCGAGTTAGGGGTTCTGGTCCTATTTTTATTCATTTGGGGAATCAAGCAATTCTTTAAACAAGTCCAAAGAGGGTTTAATGATCATGACATTTTGTGGATTTTATCTTTTTATTTATATCTTAAAGAAACCAATTTTTGTTGATCTTTAGAGTCCGAATCAGACGGAGGCTTTGACATGATCACCACACAAATGTCTATGTGGGTACTTCTTGTTTTTTTGTCGGCCACTTAGTTGTATATAGGGTAAATTACACTCGCACCCCTGGCATTTGGTTTTATTATACAAACACCCTCTTAAATTTCAAAAATAATACTGAGACCCCTTGACATTTGAACACTTGTGACAACCGCACCCCTTTTGTACGCCTGACGTTAACTATTTCATTAAAAAGACTTTGTTACCCATATAACATTGAGATTAACAATCTCTTAATCAAATTTGTCTTAAAAAATTTAATTAAATCAAATCAATCTACTAATTAAGGCAATTTATCTCTAAAATTCTTTCAATTATAGTTAATTTCATTCATTAATTTAAATTTGACCCCCAAATTCAATTTTAGACACAATTAACACCATCACCATGTACCACCAATTGTCGCCTCCTACCACACAAACCCACCTAATTTGCCCCCAAATCCACAACACAAACCCACCAAACCATTAATCTCCACCGCCACAACCCACCTTCCAGTGAAATCCCCCAAGCACCGCGAGTCCACAACCCAGAAACAAACCCCTCTGCAACACCCAGAAACAAACCCCTCCCCTCCCCCCACTGCCTGAGATTCTCTGTCTCTGTGTGTGTGGCTGATGGACAGGATATCGCCCTCTTTGACTGTGAAGAACTCAGATTTGAAAATTGAAAAAACTTAGATCTCAAAAATTTGAAAACTCTCTACTCCATTTTGACCATGAAGAACTCAGATTTGGAATATTGAAAGAATTCTCTCTCTCTCTCTCTCCGATGCTTATGGCTAAAAGTGGTGGGTGGCTAAGGCAAGTTTTCGATTTTGAGGTGTTGAGAGCCTTGAAGAGGTGGGTTTGGGTTTTGAGTTTTTTGGGTTTTGGCGGTGATGGCATTGTTGTGGTATTGGTGGTGTGTGATTGTAGGCGATGGACACTAGTGGGGAGTGGTGTTGGTGGTGGACACGGTTGGAAAGTGGGGTTGGTGGTTGTGGGTGGCGGATGCTAGTGGGAAGTGGTGTTGAGGTGATGTTTTGGATGAGGGTGGTCGCTGGAGGGTGCTGCAGTGGTGGAGAGCTGTTGGCAATTTTTGTCGATTTTTTTGCGATTTCAGGTAGGGGTTTCTCTCTCTTTGTCTGTGTGTATGTATGTGTGCGTGTGTGTATATATATACACACACACACACACATAGAAAGATGATCTGAGGGAGAGAGAGAAGACTGATGATTTTCGAGTTAGTTCTTCTCCGAGAGAGGGAGAGAGTGAGAGAGAGAATGCACTGGGATTACTGCTACAGAGGAGGCGAAGATTAGGGTTAGGGATAGGGATTGGGGTTTGAGTTTGAGTTTGTGTTAAATAGAAGGGTAAAATAGTCTTTTTATTAAGATAATTAACTCCATCTAACCATTGGGGTCTCAGTGTAATTGTTGAAATGTGAGGGAGTATCCATGTAATAAAGTCAAATATCAGGGGGTGTGAGTGTAATTTACCCTTGTATATATTAGTGATATGTTTGGATTCTTTTTGTGAATCTTAGTGAGGCAGAGGCAGTTTACGATAAGTAATCATGCTAGGACCAAGTGCTTGTGGGATATTGTTGCAGATGGCTATATGGACTATCTACAAGCCTGAGAACCATAGGGGACAATTGATGCTGATAATCAATGTTGTTGGGCAATATAGTTTTTCGTTTCCTTGATCTAGCTTGATCAAGTATTCTCATGCTCTTACGACTTTCTTCCATCAGACCTCCTTGGCTGCACTAGGTTCCCTATAAGAATAACCTTCAGGTTGAAGGCAGGAAATGCATACATTTATAGGCCAATTACTGTGGCGTGGCAATTTTACTCGTGAACATTTATATTGTGAGTGGTGGTAAGTAAGCAATTTCCCTGAAACTATGTAATGACACCCTTCTGTGTACCCAAATATAGATCCCAAATAGTGTTAGACCAGTGGGAATTCTGTGGTTTGATGCTTAATGGAATAGTTCCTGCATTTTTCTTTGATCTTCTGGTTGTTTTACTCATAGTTGTTGATAGTTCCTCAACTTATTGTTGTCAGGTTCTGTTATTGCCTTGCAGCTGCAGCATTCTTAAGCTGTGAGCTTCAAACTACTTAAGATGGCCTCTGTGCAGAATTATACTGAGAGAAGACATGGAGTTTCAAATATGTTTGGGCAGGAAAAATGTGAATCCTACTTTTTTTTCTATGGTGAAACTTCCCTTGGGGATGGGTTTCGAGCATTCTTGTATATTGTCGCCCTTGCTTATTGTTTCATTGGATTATCAGCTATAACTGCTCGGTTTTTCCGGTCTATGGAATATGTTGTTAAGCATTCACGGATGGTGGTGGTGATAGATCCTAGCACTAATGCTAAGCTTGTCAAACATGAAAAGGTGTGGAATTACACGATTGCGGATATTACTCTGCTGGCGTTTGGGACTAGCTTCCCCCAAATCTCTTTAGCTACTATTGATGCAATACGAAATCTTGGGAAATTGTACGCTGGAGGTTTGTTTCACATTTTTCCCACTTCTATGTTGTATATTCAGAAGTGAGAGGTGTGTTACATATCCACAAATACAAGAAGATAAATTTTGGAAATCCATGTCTATCATATTGAACCTAGTAAAATATCAATATATAATTTCCTGATAAAAACCCATCAATGACGTCAAAATTTTGCTTCTAATCAAAATTGATCACCATGGTTGTCATATTTAGTTTTCTTGCCATCATTTTTATCCGTTACCTTTATTCTTACTGCTGAGTCAATGTGCTGCAGTCAGTTTTGTAATATAATTCCTATTATCATGCAAATTATGGAAATCCAATTGAGTATCTGTGAGAGTGTGTGTTTGGTTCTTTTCTGTGTCTATTTTATTTGGGCGTTTTGGAATCTGTTGCTCTGCCTTCTGATGTGAAAACCATAGTTGTGGAAAGGCTTTAAGCTGTTGGCTCCTTGTAATATATCTAACCAATTTGTCAACTCAGCACAGTCATGTTAGATGATTTGTTTCATCATTTGGTAGCCTATTTTGGTCACTTAAAATATATGCACTCCTGGCGGATCGCAATATAGTCGTCTGCCTTCCAAAACTCATTGGCTCCTTCAAAAAGCCATGAATTGAAGGCATGGGCATGTTTAGCACAATTTTTACCCCATCTGTGGTAGTGTAGAAAATTCTTGCAATGGCTAGTAGGAAAATGGCGCAAAAACACGTTTGATAGAATAGAAATATTTGACAATTTGTTGCTAACTCGAGAAGTACGGTTTGAATCAATAAAGGGGATAACCTAAATATGATTTGAGATTTTGGAAACATTTGTGTGACACGTCTGTAAAATTTCTTTCTGTTCCATAGATCTCTTGATTTATTAGCATAGCTTTTCTGACATCTACTTAATTAATAGGTCTGGGTCCTGGGACACTGGTTGGTTCTGCTGCATTTGACCTATTTCCTATCCATGCTGTCTGTGTTGTGGTTCCAAAAGCCGGAGAATTGAAGAAGATATCAGATGTGGGTGTTTGGCTTGTAGAGCTCTTTTGGTCTTTTTGGGCTTACATTTGGCTATACATTATATTAGAGGTAATATGCCATCTTGTTTTCATTGTTGGTTTGATTTGATGTGAACACATCCTGAATAGAACATGCTGCACGATACATATGTTTAATAACTGTTACAACAATCATTAGATTACTGTATGGGTTTCCACCCATATGTATTCGTAGGGGCGGTGCCAGAAAAAAATTTTAGGGTGGGCACACTAGCATGTTTTAATTTTTTTAATAGATCGTAAAAGTTCATAAATTTTTATTTATTAAAATTATATTTAATATTTTTTAAACATAAAAAATTGAAAATCGATATACATAACACGAACAAAAAAATAATAATTAAAATTTTTTATCAAGAATACAACTAATTATTATTACTTATAATTGATCCTGGTATTTTTTTATTATTTAAAATAGTTACAAATTAATTTTATCAATATTATTTCTTTTATATATAAAATCGCAGTAACAATCTTTCATTTATCAGTTTATAGTTTACTACATAACGATACACATATAATAACGAAATAATCCTACAATTTAAAAAAATTATAAAATAATATCAATATATTTAAAACATATTTGGACATGTCTAAAAGTTAACAATTATATTAGTTGTACCTAATTTGAGATTTAATTGATGGAGACTCAATGGTTTGTGACCATTGGATAGATAATAGAGTTTATTAAATATTAAGACTCATTATTATACTTACTATCGCAATATATTAGGTCCTTAAATTAGGTTTCAATAACATTAATAATCATTTAGGTAGGGGTCTATTCAAATTAATATCACAAGAACGCAATATTAGTGTGGGTACAACTAAATATGTCTAAATTTTATTTCAAAAAATATATGCATAATATGAAGCAAAAAAAAAATTGAGGGGAGGGTATGTGCCCACCCTAGTTCAAGGGTGGCTCCGCCCTTGTGTATTCATACTCATTTTTCATGCGTATTTTTTTGTTGAACCTTCAAGCTTTTGGTCTGATGTTGCAAGTTTCACAGTCGATGCTTTGGTATGTCCATGCATATGCATTATGCAGTACCATACAATTATTCAGAAGGTGCATATAATGCTAAGGTTGCAGCAAGCTAAATTTTTTGGTATACAAGTCACAAATTTTCTGCTTGGCAAATCACTTTTGGATAGAGCTTTCATGAATGTCATTGTTAACTTGCGAGAATTAACACAATATTAGAGAAAGACAGAGAGTGGTTAAAACTTAACCTAACTCTCATACATCACTTGTATTTATAGTTAACTCATAATAATAAAAATTACACATACACCCTCTTGTAATACACATACTATCCTAATACTCTTAACAATTTACACATACTACCCTAATACTCTTAACACTCTCCTTCAAACTGGACTATATATATCATATAATCCAAGTTTTGAACAAATTGCTGTAAGACGTGTACGACTCAATGCTTTGGTAAACATATCTGCAAGCTGATCTTCAGATTTCACAAATGGAGTTGTAATCTTTCTAGCTACTATATTGTCCCGAATAAAGTGATAATCAACCTTAATATGTTTGGTTCTCTCGTGAATCATTAGATTGACAGCGATATGGATAGTTGTCTAATTGTCACAGAACAACTGTAAAGGAGGTTGAACTGGAAACCCAATTTCCTGGAGGAAGTGTAGTAGCCAAGTCAACTCACTCGTCGTATGTGCCATTATCCTATACTTAGCCTCAGTACTGGATTTTGCTATCACAGATTGTTTCTTACTTTTTCATGAGACAATGATATCTCTTAAGAAAGTACAATAATCAATGGTTGAGCTCCGATCAGAAGGAGAGTCAACCCAATCAGCATTTGAGAAACCTTCCACTCTAAGATGTCCATTAGCTCGATATAACGGTCCAAGTCCAGGAACTCGTTTGAGATATCGCATAATATGAGTAACTGCCTCCCAATGTGGTATTCTAGGACACCTCATGAATTGACTGCAAAGGAAATATCTGGTCGAGTAATAGTGAGATAATTGAGCTTCCCAACCAATCTGTGATACCGACCCGGATTCTCAAACAATGCACTATCATCCATTAATAGTTTCTGATTCAGATCCATAGAAACATCAATCAGTCTGCCACCCATCAAACCTGCTTCCTCTAGCATGTCAAGTATATATTTTCTCTGTGATAAACAAATACACTGTTTAGATTAAGCCACTTTAATTCTCAAGAAATACCTGAGTTTTCTCAAATTTTTAGTATGAAATCGATCTTGCAAATTTTTTTTTAACTTGACAATCCCTTTAGAATCATTTTTAGTAATCATAATATCATCTACATAGACCATCAATAGAACATATCCAGCATTCGTCTGTCTATGAAATACAGAATGATTGTCTGACATCAAAGAAGACCAAACTCTACAACTGCATCTAAAAACTTATCAAATCATGCCCTCGGTGACTGCTTCAAACTATACAAAGATTTTTTTAACCAACATATACTCTTACTATACTCCCCCTGAGCAGTAAACTCAGGTGGCTGTTCCATGTATACCTCTTCAACCAAGTCATTATGTAGGAAAACATTCTTGACGTCTAACTGAAACAAGAGCTAATCAAGATTAGCAGCCAAAAAAATCAAGATACGAACAGAGAAAATTTTGGCAACAGGAGAGAAAGTCTCCTCATAATCAACACCATAGGTCTGAGTAAAACTCTTTGCAACAAGTCGGGCTTTGCAACGCTCCACAGAACCATCCGGATGAAATTTAACAGCATATACCCAATGACAACCAACAATTCGTTTACCAGGAGGTAAAGGAACGAGATCCCAAGTCTCATTATGATGTAAGACATCCATCTCATCCTCCATAGCTCTCCTCCAACCCGGATCAGATAATGTATCCTGTAAATGCTTAAAAATAGATATAGTAGATAGTTGAGAGGTAAAACAAGAGAAGACAGAAGATAAGGCATCATATGAAATAAATGAGCAATTGGATGATTAGTAACATACGAACGAGTACCTTTTTGAAGGGCAATAGATAAAGAGTCTAAATTACTTGATGGATCAGGATCAGAAGGCGGCAAGGAAGACGGTACAGACACCTCAGTCGATGGTCAAGGACGACGAAAGTATACACGAAGAGGTAAAATAGATGGTAACACAGTGGACAGAGGAATATCTGAAGGTGGTGGTACAAGAGAAAACCCAAAATTCAGATCTAAAGATTGAGAAGGTGCTAAAAAATATGAAATAGATTCCTCAAACGTGACATCGGCACTAGTAAAGTATCGTCACAGAGAAGGACTATAGCAACGATACCTCTTTTGTGTGCAGGAATAACCAAGAAATACACATTTTGTAGCTCGAGGGTCAAGTTTATCAAACCCAGGACCCAAATTGTTAACATAACCGACACATCCAAAAATCTTATGAGGTAGGGAAAATAAAGGCTTTCCAGGAAAAATGATAGAATATGGACTTTGTCATTTAACACAGAGGATGACATACGATTAATAAGGTGACAAGCAGTAAGAACATCACTCCCAAAATATCGAAGAATATTTATCTGAAATAGTAGAGCATGAGTGACTTCCAACACATGACGGTTCTTGTGTTCAGTAACACTGTTCTGTGAATATGTGTAAGCACCGGAAGACTGATGAATAATACCAGTTTTACTAAGATAAGTTGAAAAAAGATTAGATTCATATTCTCTAGCATTATCAAAACGTAAAATACGTATACGACAATCATACTGAGTTTTTATTTTCTTGCGAAAGGTCTCAAATATAGAGAATCATTTAGACCGAGCTTTCATCAGAAACAACCAAGTCACACGAGAATAGTTATCCACAACTATCACAAAATAAATATATTTATTAGATGAAAATTTCTTTATTGGACCCCATACATCAGAATGTACTAACTCAAATGGACTAGACACACGATTATTGACTCTAGACTAAAATGACACACGGTGATGCTTACTAAGTTGACAAGCTTCACAAGACAAAGACGACACACAACTAAAACTGGGAGCTTGGCGTTTCAGATTCTAGAGAAAGGGATGTCCAAGACGACAATGCCATTGAAAAGGAGACAACGAGGTCTGTAGGGGCCCGAGTAGGTGAATCAAAATCAAAGTAATATAGGCCACCGGCTTCATGTCCGTACCAATCTTCCTCTTCGTTTTGAGATTCTGAAAGACATATTAAGATGGATAAAAGGTCACAAAACAATTGAGAGAACAAGTAATCTTACTAATGGAAAGTAAACTAAAAGGAAACTGAGGAACAAATAACACGGAAGGTAGGGACATATCAGGACTCAAATGAGTAGTCCCGAGGTCTGAAACTTTAGAACAAGTACCATTAGCAAGAGTAACATTATGTGTGGAAGTAGTAAGTTGATATGTAGAAAAAACATCAGACGCACCAGTCATGTGATCAGAAGCGCCAGAGTCTATGATCCAGAGACTGCGACTGGAGGACAATGAACAAGTGAAAACAGTACATGACTGGGCAAAAGTAGCAGTGGAGGGAGATGGGATAGCCTGTTGCTAGGATAGAAATTGAGTATACTCCCCTCGACCCAGTATAATAGTAACTGACCCAGTGTCTGGTGGAGCTGACCGAGGTATGGAAGCAACAACAGAGGTATCATCCTAATAGGAAGCGTGATTCGCAGCACTAGAAGGTTTTCCATGTAAATCCCGACATAAATCAACAGTGTGTCCTCCACGGCTACAATGAGTACAGCAACAGGGTCCACCACGGCACCTACAATCGCCTGTACGACCTCCTTGACCACCACAACCACCACGACCATCATGTCTACCTCGATGACCATCACTGTGGCTAATAGGAACCACAAGAACTGAGCGATCAGTGGAGACACCATGATCAATCCCTAAAAGAGTAGACAATGTAGCACGCTGTAAACGAGAGAAAACCTTAAGCAGTGATAGAAGACTAGAACCACCCAAAATCTAAGAACGAATAGCCTCATATTCAGGTTTCAATTCTACCAAAAACCTAACAACATTTAGGTCCTCATGTTGCTTCTGTCAAACTGCTACATCAGTAGTAAATGGATGGTAGGTCTTCATCTCTTCACAGACTCTCCGAACGTGAGAGTAATAATCCTCAAGGCTCAGAGTACCCTGCTCTAACTGGAAGTACTCCTTGCACACCTCAAAAGCACGGGTAAAATTACCTGTACCAGAATACATAGTGGCCAAGTGATCTCATATCTCTTTGGTGGTATCAGGATAGAGCAGAGAAGAGCTAATACTAGGTTCAATGCTATTTAACAATAAAGAGATAATCTGAGCGTCCTCTTGTTCCCACTAATCATACCCACCAGTATTTTCCTTAGGTTTAGAATTAACCAAATATTTCTTGAAACCTTTACCTCGAAGAAAAACTTGAACAGAACGGGACCATAAAGTATAATTAGTCTTATTGAGTTTAACGGAAGTCATGAGACCATTAAGAATGATTGGAGAAATAGAGGTAGGAGGCAAAGATGGAGCAATAACATCTTGCTTAGGTTCCATAACAATATAGTAAATAGTAAAATGGGAGCAACCTTACTGTTGGACAACTGAACGGAGCAAGCAAATGGTAAAACAGGAGCAACCCTACTGCTGGGCACCTGAACAGAACAAGAGGAAGTCACTGGATCGTTGAACCGGACTGGAGGACCTTGCTAGACAACTAAACCGGACTGGGAGGCCTCTCTAGGCTGTTGAATCGGACAGAAAAAGCAGGCTGGCTTGCTGAACCGGGCAGGCCGAGCTCTCGAACCACTGAACCAGAGCAACAATAGAAAAAACCAGTCCGAGCCGGTGCAAAACTACCTGAACCGGATTAGAATGGATCAAACCGGGATTGAACCGATCTAGTCAGGGTCTTGGTCTGGACCGGGTTTGAATTGGACCCGGTTGGTTTGGACCAGCATTGAAGTGGGCTGAAACCCACTTGCTACCGACCCGATGGACCTTGTCTTCTTTGCCTGATTAGGGTTTCAAATGAAACCCAAACCCTTGATCTTCGTTGCTGGCATCCGACAGTCACAACATCATAACACCACCGCAGAAACCACCGACATCCACAACCACCATAGAAGCCATCAACGTCGACAATCGACTCAGTAGCCACACCACCACAATCGACTCAGAGACATCGATGAAAACACCTCACAGCCAAAATCTCCACCACAGACGTAGCACCACCACTAGTACAATATGTCACCACCACCACCGTGTATCACAACTACTGTGTAACACCACCACAACGCCGGAACTCCGACAGCAGCACCTCAATAGTGATATCACTTCGACAGTGGCACTACCTCAACAGTAACACCACCAAGCCAAGGTAATTTTCACAACACAAACACACACTAATATTTGTATTTAGGATCGTATTGCTCTGATGCTATGTTAACTTGAGAGAATTAACACAATATTAGAGAAAGACGAAGAGTGGTCAAAACTTAACCTAGCTCTCATACATCACTTGTATTTATAGTTAACTCACAATAATAAATATTACACATACACCCTCTTATTAATATATACTATCCTAATATTCTTAACAATTTACACATACTACCCTAATACTCTTAACAACCATATATACGATTCAGGAAACTATGCTCAAGTCTTCAAAACTTTGATGTGTAGAACTCTCAAATATTTGACTTACCTATTTTAAATTTTTTATTTCCGTCAATTAGTGTTTTCTACATGTGCGTGCATGCCTATATCCATACATGCACAGTGGCATTTAAAGGTAAAAATGTACATCAACAATATTAGGAACCTCTTCAGGAGAAAACGAATTGGGTTCCTCCGAATGGTTAATAACCAACTGATCTTCAAGATTATGATCCTATTCATCTTTATCCACCAGTTTTGCACAAGATTCTGTCTAATGATATGATAAGACGACTCTGTAACTGTTGTCTATTGCTTTTAACATACCCATACCTTGGTTATAAATGGTTTTCTTACCTTTGCAGATATGGACTCCACATGTTGTTACCATGTGGGAGGCCTTCTTGACAGTGCTGCAATTTGGGTTGTTGCTGATACATGCATATGCTCAAGACAAGCGTTGGCCCTACTTCTCCCTTCCTCTGTATGGTTTTTTCTTTTTATATTCATTTTTATGTATTGGGTGTTGGTGTCTGTGCAGTTAAGTGTTGAAATATTTGTTTTTGCAAGTAAGAATGCCTTTAACAGTTGTTTCTGATGGTTTTTGTATGTCTCAGAGCAAGAACTGAGAGGCCAGATGACTGGGTGCCAGCAGAGGCTGCTTCATGCGGACATGACAACAGGGTTCATAATGATTACTCTGAGATACTTCAAGTTGATGAAGATGAAGATGAAAACATTGTCGATATTTTCTCCATCCATTCAAAAATTGGGGCAGGTAGGCTGCTGATATGCCTAAAAACTTGAGGTGATGATGTATAATGTATGTATATGGAAGTAGTTTCTTTGTTGGCAGTATTCTATTAATCCTTCCTGCTTTGATAAGAAATAATTTTCTAGACGAAGAGAATCTGCTAGAGGATCACGATTCAGAAGAGACTAAACAAAAAGTTGGAAAAGGGTTACGAAGAAATAAAGAACCCAAAGAAATTGGAAAGTAGAAATAGATAGAGAAATTTTCGGAGAGGAAAAACGAAATGAAATTCTGATCACAGCAGAGCATTCCCTAGTAGCAGCGCACGTCCTACATGGCAAATCAACGTTTTAGTTGCCTTCTTTTCAGAACAAAATAGGAAGCTCTTAACAAATGTGGCTAATAATCCAAGAGCTGGGACTTGCACTTTATTTTCAATAATTGAAGTAAAGCAATCTCCTGATCTCGTCTCACCGGTTTATGGAAAAAGTCCTGAAATTGAGTCATTGTTTTCCTATAGCTGTGCAGGCAATTTTGCTTTGACAGTTTCCAGAAGCTGACGATGATGCCTTGGGTCCTCATTGACACCAGATGAGAAAGCAACTATAGTATAAGAATTTCATTGCAGACACTCAACCAGGTACTGTAGAGAAAAATAGAATTGAACTTGGATGTAAGAAAAAAAAACTTGGATGTAAGAAAAGATAATGAATAAGAGAGAGAAATTGGCTTTCCAAATTATAAAGAACAAGCCACAGGCATATTGAGTTACCAAAACCTTCCTGTTAAACAAGTCACTTGATTTATTTGTACTTAATAGGGCATTGTGTGACAATTTTACACATATGCCCCCAAGTATTCTTCCATCTGCATAGCTTATAATATGGCTTTTAAACTGATACAAACAAAACTATTCTTTCTACTCGTTCCAACATGCTTTGCCGAAAGCTCGAAAGGGCCGAAACACGCTTGGTTGTGCCATTCTAAACAGTCCATTAGAGGGCACTTCCTCTGGCTTAAGATCTCCATTGATAACAGGTGGACTTATTGCGAATGGACATGGACCGGTGTGTAAAAGAGAAAGCACAAGAAGCGTACTTAATTTCAATGATTCGTCTCATCCTTCTATGCTCCCTCTGGGATAATAATGTCGTGCGTTTTTCCTTGCCTTAAATATGGTAGAAACTTGGTAATATGTTGTATACAGAACTTGAATATAGTCACTCTTGAAATTGTACTTTCTTCATACTTTTGGAAAGTAATATCCCAATTATTGGTGACCTTTTTTTATGGATGAGTTTTGTAAATTACATGTTAATGAATGCTCAGGAAGTGTTGGACCTGCATCCGAAACTAAGATTTTTTCATTTTTAAATAGGAAAACAACCAAAAGAGTGCTGTACACGTGTTTAAGAATGTTCAAAAAGTGTGTGCTTCACACATATCTGACATTGATGTGTCATGTATTCTTAGAAGTTTCTATGCCTCTTTGTTTTGGACAAGTATGAATTGGTTGCGACTCCAGCCACTCCTATACTGCCATTTTGAAGATGTATGTATATTGAAAGTCTAAAATATAGTGTAAGAGAAGGGCTATGGAGAAGGCTCAATTTATGGCCACTACTGTACTGTCTAGAAAAATTTAATGGACACAAGTTTTGGAAAGCTTACTTTTGTGAGGTCAACTACTGCAGCTACACTAATATATTAGAGATTCGAAAAAAGAGAGGTTGTATAGTTGAAATGTCATGGCTTCAGTTATCCTGTGATACACTATACTTTATTGTTTTATTTTTCTCTGGTTTCCTCTATAAGTTTTAATCTAACTATCTCTTTTTCAAAGTCTAAATGCAGGTACTGTTTATCAAAATTTTCCTGGTAGTGATGTAGCTGAATGCTCCAACAAAGATGTCAACAAAAAGATCACTTTTGAAGAATTTCATGTGCTCACAATTTGGAAGCAGCAATTTCTAGATGCGTTCATGGTACGGTATTGAATGATTTTGTGTTGAATTCTTTTCGTTTTATCCCATAGCAGTTGAAAAGCTACAACTAGTAATTACTGTGTGCAGGGCATACTTTTCTCTCTCTACCCCATGATGGGGAAAAGATTTAGTGTCAAGACTTGTGCTTGTTGAATGACATCTCTCTCTCTCTCTCTCTCAACTTTATGGTTTCTCAGTTTCTGTGTGCGATTTTATGGATTCTGTTATATCCTATAAGCAGTAGCATTAGTTTTCTAGAATATAGTTTCGTATATTTGATTATTCGTGGCGGCTCAGTGTGATGCATGGAATTTGCACCATCTTCCTACCTCCCCCAAGTGTTAGTACACTAATTTTTTTTTTAAAAGGACAAATTTGGAGGGGTTCAATAAAAAAGGTGGGAGTGCTTATCTGATTTTGAAAAATTTTAACATTGCAGTAGTTAGTAAAACTGGTGTGAGTGTTTCCATATCAACCACATGAGAGAATGTTATTGGAGGAAGCTAATACTTTTTTCCATTAAGTGATTAAAAACTATGATCATTAGGGAAGTTGGGAGGGAAGACTTCTTAAGCCCTCTTCCTAATTTGGTTGTCTATACTATAGATAAAGATTGGCAAACCCATCCTCTCCCTTCTCCCAAAGACATGTGCAGGTAGCACATCTGGTATTAGTATTTGGAGAAACTTGGAAACTATATTTACTTCTTAATATACGAAGGGCTGCCTAAGATAATCCAGGCCCCTGTTTTTTTTAACATTCTTAATCATAGCATCGTAAAATCATCCAATGGGAAAATGAAACTTGATAAGTCTTTGTTTGAGATTTTAGTTCTTCACCTATTACAGACTTTTGCCTTTTGTTGGTCTGGATTTGAATTTCCGTAACAACGCAATACTTCTGTGTTAAGTAAATTTTAGCTGAGTCTTGTCACCATAGAACATGTAGAAACTTGGGTCTTCTTTTAAAAGCATTTATATCTCAGTTATCCAAATAAAGATTAGAGATTGTGTTTCTAGCAGTTGCATTTTCTTGTGTCATGACTAACTTCTTTTCCTTCAAATAGTTGGAAAAGACAGAATCAAGAAAATTCAACAGTATTTACCTGCAGTTTGCACTAGCTTTCTGGGAGTTACTCCTTGCACCATGGAGACTTCTGTTTGCTTTTGTGCCTCCCTATCAGATTGCTCATGGGTGGATTGCCTTCGTTTGCTCTCTCCTTTTCATAAGTGGGATAGCTTACATTGTAACAATGCTCACAGATCTGATAAGCTGTGTCACAGGTTCCGTAAACTGAAGATTAAGTGCTTTATAGAGTTTTATCTTTAATAAACCTTTTTTTCAAACCCAGGTATTATATTTACATGCCCTATTGTCCTGCAGGAATAAATTCTTATGTCATAGCATTTTCGGCATTGGCCAGTGGTACCTCGTGGCCGGATTTAGTGGCAAGTAAGATTGCTGCGGAACGTCAGATAACAGCAGATTCCGCCATTGCAAACATCACTTGCAGGTTCCTTCCAAAACTGTTCTTTTTGGTTTTTCTTGTCTTAAATATAAAATGTTTTAAGTATTTTTTTTTATATTTAGTTTATTTTGATACGTTCAAGAGCCTTGTTGAGTGTTATTCTGTCCAATTTTTGCTCAATGAAGATTCAAACTAGCAAACTTGGCTTTTCCTGTTAAGCTTGAGTGGAATGTTTAGGTGGGAATTCATGATATTAGTTGTTGTCAAGTGAAAACATCCTGATCGACCTCTTTTTTACCCTTTTTATAGTATCACAGCTCATAGAATAAGTCTTTGTCAAATAACTCCGATGAGAAGAAAAAAGAAGACATTAAGAGATTTCCTGGCCCAACCCTAGACACTCTTAAGATCTTTTTTCAAACCTGCTCCCATTTCAAGTCAAGAGATAGATAAATAGACACATCCTATTGCACTGATCGGAGACATTCGTAGTGACTGAGGGGGTCGAAGACCAAGAAGTGAGTTATTTATACCAAGCATTCTTTTTACGGCTAGACCCAATCTCCTGGTTCCTGTGGAAAGGAAAAAGAATTTCACGCTCTTCGAAGGGAGGATTAGGAAAATCCTATTGATAGTAGCTTTCTCCAGACCTCCCAGAAAAGCAGGAAAAAAACAGCTCAAATAGTACGATCCATCCGTCACCACAGAATGAAAGTGGTGATCTCGTAGTTCTTGGTTTGTGAAATGTGTTGTTAGGTGTCCCCTTGATTTTCCAATTGAAGCCAAACAATAACTGAACTTTGAGGGCCTATATTATCCTTAATATTCTCTTGTAAATTTTATATAACCGCCTTCTCAAAGTTATGAATCGCACACTTGGTATTTTAATGCTTTGCAAGGTCAAGAAATATGTTTATTGTATAGAAATAGAGAGTATTTTCTTAAAAATCCTATAACGGATATCCTTGTTGTGTGTTTTCTGTAGCAATTCAGTGAACATATATGTGGGAATTGGCATTCCATGGTTGATCGACACATTATACAACTTTATTGCATATAAAGAACCACTGAGGATAGAGAATGCTGAAGGGCTCGGTTTCTCTTTGCTTGTTTTCTTCTCTACTTCTGTAGGCTGTATTTCTGTTCTGGTACTTCGACGTCTTACATTAGGCGCGGAGCTTGGAGGGCCAAGACTTTGGGCCTGGGTTACATCTGTGTACTTTATGTTGCTTTGGCTTATTTTTGTTGTATTGTCCTCCCTCCGATTTTCTGGCATCATATGAGAGTTCCCCCCCCCCCCCCCTCCCATTGATTATATATATTTAATTTCACCACCCAAATCTTCCGCTCTCTTGATTATTGATTACATTTTCTACTCATCATGTACAACTGTAATATCCAGCATGAACACCAGAATTTTTGCTAGAGAAAATGAGTAGGAAAGTCCAAATATTACTTTCTGCCTATCATATATATATATATGGTGTGTATGTTATCAGGAACATTTTTTTTTTTTTGGGGGGGGGGGGGGGGGGGTGGGAAGGTTGTTTGTGCATCATCAGCATATTGGTGATTTGGAGCAATCTCCACCTTGGTTGGACAAGGATGAGAAGAACTCAAGGCGGATAAGCTCGGCAAGATTAAAGTAACTTCGGTTCTACTTTATTTTTTTTTGTCTTTTAGTTTAACGGTCTGAGGCATTTGAACTAACTTTTGCATATATTGATTAATTTTTTCATTAGTTTACTTAAAAACAGGTTATTCATATCGAAATTAAGATATTCAAAAAAAAATAAATTTCTCATAATCTGATTTTAAAGAATTATTAAAATTCAAACTCAGAATATCTAGATCTACAGTTCGTTCCCTTTACAATTTGAGGTTAATTTCTTTCTCTTTCTTTTTTTCGCAATTCTTAAAGCAACACATAGATGGTCTGAATGAGACTTGATGGCGTGGTTTTATGGAAAAAATATTCATTGCAAAGGTGATATCACCATTCTTTATATATATAGACAAATAAAAAAGTGAACTTCACAAAAATTAATAACTATCTATTCATATAAACAGATAATTATCCTCTTCTTTTTTCTTTCTTGTAAGTCCTTTACTTATTTAAGATTTTATTATTAATTAATAATATCATATCATTAAAACTGATATCACCGTTATATTAAATATTCTCTCCGTTTTGTGACCAAGACGACGTGACAAAAAAAACATGGAATTGGTCAAAAATTGAAAGCCGATTTTCATCCTGTAAACGGAACAAGGTAATCAACATAAATACTAATCCTTTCTTAACAATCCCAACAACAAAAAGATATATTTATCGTTTTTTTGGAACAAGTAACAGATGTGTAACACTCATTCGCACTGGCATCCTCACGGATGAAACAAAGCTTCAATATTCAGTAGTTATTTTGACAGTGAACAAAAGTCCATTGACGAACTACTCACTTTCGGACAGCTCTACTCCAACATCTACAAGATACCAAGCTGAAAAATCAGAAACACATGAAGGAAACCTTCTTTCAGTACGTATTTTCATTTCTCTTCCGATGAAATTTCCTCCTCAAGCAACGGCACTGGTACAAGCTGTGACTGGAGCAGCATTTTGTTTTGCAGCACTGTATTTCTTGGTGATGAATCTGATAAACAGAGACATAAGGTATTAGAGCATCAGTTCCAGTAGCAAGAGACACGAGCCAGAAGAGCTCACTGGTTTTAGTGTGCAATTGGGCTGACATCAGTAGACTATCTGATTTTCTTGATACTGTACATGGAACATTTCAGTTGAAGAACATATCATATGTTACATATGAAACCTAAGTCTTGATACCTCACGGGTGATGAAAGTGTAATGTGGTCTGTTAAGTTACCTGAAGAAATCCCTCCACAACAACTCATACATCAACCAGTTCATTCCAGTATCGGATGGATCACTACCACCATCTTTTGGCTTTGAGGCAGCAGAAATTATCCTGCAGATCATGCTAAGTGAGATCTCATTAGACAACTTCATAAACTTTGAACATAGTTCCTGGACTAAAACCAAACACATTGATTATGCCATACCTGGAAGTAGACTTCTTCAGCTCATCAAACATGGAACGGGGAGAGAGGCATCCCATAGCAAGCCATGGAGAGATTTTGCACGAGAAGTTTGCACCATATATGCTATCATTGCTGCCATCCTTGGTACCCTTATGTGGTTGTGCTTGGCATTCAGCTGTAAATTTTCTAAGCCTCTGCAAGGCTTCAGTCTCCCCTCCCACAAGGGAAGCATTAGCAGCCGGTCTTCCCTCCTACATGAAAGTAGATGACCATAGTATTACTGTGTTCAAAAACAGGAAAACTAGACAACTTGTTTTAAGCTAATGTCATTGAGACACTGTTGAAACCCAATGTTAGCAAGCAAAGTTTGCTAATTCTGCATACAACATAAGCACGCATAAGGATGCAGGTAGAAGCAGTGTAAGAATGAAATTGAAGAAATGCTATTGGCTGTATATTTTGGGAGAATTACACCCAAAAACCTGAGGTGAGGTTTGTCACTTAAGCTCCTAATATTTAAAATATTTCATACAGACCCCTTAAGGTTTGTACGTGCATAATAGTTAGACCTTGTCGTTAATGTCAGTAAGAATATCCATTAGTAAATTATACACAAACCTTATAAAATTTGTATACATGTAATATTTAGACCTTTCAAGTTTAAAATATTATACTTAGACAAAAAATATTCCAATCAACAATAAAATATCAAATATTTTAAATTTTATAACCAAAATTTATGTTTTATTATATCATTTATTAAAATAAAATAAAAAATAAAAATTCAATTTTTAAAAAAAAAAAATCATAATTAGTATATAATTATACTATCTATTATACGACCAAACTACTCCAATTAAAGATAGAAGATATTGTGTCCATCACACTTTGACTTCTTATTTTTTTTTTTTTTTTTCAAGAGATAGTATAATTGTATACTAATTATAATTTTTTTAAGAAAAAATTAAATTTTATTTTTGATTTTATATCAATAAATTACATAATATAATATGAATTTTTGTTATAAAATTTAAAATATTTGATATTCTATCTTTGATTGAAATAATTTTGGTTTAAGAATAATATTTTAAATTTAAGAGATCTAAGTATTATATCCTATAAACTTTAGGGTGTCTAAGTATCATTTACTAACAGATATTACGGCAGGGGTAGCGTTAGGAGGGTTGTGTCTAATATTTTAAATGTTTGGGGTCTAAGTAATTAAAGGACTGAGGCCTAGGCGTAATTCTCCCTATTATTTTTAACACTTTCACCTCATCTCAGTACAAGAACCACATCTGAAGAAGGTGTGCTAAATAGTTTCCCTTTCTTCTCTCTTTCAAAAGTGTCAACCGAAGGAATTGAACTCATTGAACAGAACCTTTCTGCTGAATCCAAACCCAACATAGATTCATTTATAGGCACCCACAATCCTGTCTATAAAGCCCCCTGTCCATTATGTATGTAGAGCAATGACAACACACAAATGAATTCAATCAAGTGATGATCAACACACCATCAGATAGCAATAGCTTTCAACCCTGTGAATCCATCGAAAGATGCAATAATAAAGTTTGTATTTTGACTTCATGAGAATGCTAATGGCATAATTCATTGATTTGACAAAGTTCTCATGCCAACCTTTGAAACATTATCGCCAAAGGTCCGTTGTTTTTCCCATCCCTCATTACAATGAGCAATTTTTATGCTCAAACATATGTTAACAGCTAGTTTATTTACTCATTTTGCAATACAAAAGCATTAAACAATTTACTACTTTGTCTTCTGTTTCTAAGGAAGCTACAACTAAAGCATCGCATTAATCAAATGCACAATAGATCAAACCAATCCCATACCTGACCCATTGTTGCACTTGGATTCAGACCCAAATCCACCAAAGATGGAATCTCTCCAGTCTCCACATCCCCTCTTGCAGGCAACCCTCTCAATTGGTCCAACGCCTCGATTGTCTTCCTAATCTCCAAACCATGCACTTTTTCCCTAAACCCACCATAATTGGTGGGCATTTCTTCCAATTTAAAGGGCAAATCATCAACATGATACAATGTACTCCCCCAAAAATACTTCAACTCCACACCCTCATCCTTCATCACAGCCTCAATCTTGTCCTCCGCCTTTACCTCATCGTGTGAAACTTCTCTGTGAGCATACACGGCATCAGCCCCAATTTCCCTGGCCAATTCAACCAAAACCGTCTCTGGCTTCCCAATTCTGACCACAAGATCAGACCCTTTCGACTGTAAATTCTTTCTAAGGTCAGAAACAGATTCAATCAAGAATGTAGCACGGTACGGCCCGGTTTTATCGAACCCGGAAGACGATTTTCCATAGTCTCTTGGGTCAAAACAGTACACAGGCAAAACAGACATGGATTCGTTATTGGCTGAATTGAGGGTCTCATTGTCATGGATTCGAAGATCGTTTCGGAACCAAACGATGGAAGCTCTGCGAAGTCCTGCGGCATTTGAAGGGTCTGAAGGGCGACGAGGGTTCAAAGTGAGAGAATCTTGTAGAGGGTTTGAGAAGATGGTGGATTTGAAGAATGGTTTTGTAGGAGATAGAGAGGCGTAAAGAGAGAGGTGAGAGAGGGATGAGATTTGTGAGGGGATCTTGACTTTGTTTGGGTTAGAGGCAAGAAGGGAAGAGATTTTAGGTGGGTTGAGGAAGAAGGTGGGAAGGATTGTAGAGAGAGAAAGTGAGATTGAGGCCGAACTGGCTAGAATCTGGGAGGGTACAGTGGCCACCTGGTTTTGGTCTTCTGGTGGTGTTTGGGTTTCTGGGTTCTCTTGGGTCAGAGTTTTGGGATCCATTTCCTAAGGTTTTTGGAGAGAGATGGTGGTAGGTTGTAGAAGATAGTGATAAGCTCTTGTATCTTCTCCTCCTCTGGTTTGGTTTGCTACCTCTTTTGGTTGGTTGGTTGGTTGGTTGGGTTTGGTGTGTGTAAATTGTTTGGTGGCATTCCTAAAGCCTTGTGTGGTTCATGTGTTGTCCTTTCCACCAACCTTCAAACGTTCATACCTTGATTCTAGTTTGGGGGTGGGTGGGTTTGTTAGAATTTCTTCTTCGCGGTTGTTGGATGCAAATTGCTGTTGTTGGATGCAAATTACATACCCGATTATTTTTTTTGATAAATTACATACCCGATTAGAATGTTTACAAAAAGAAACAATTTAAAAGGCTAAAAATTAAGTTTTTAATCTCAGTGCATCTTTGACTTTGACCATCATTTCTCAGATTATATTTCAAATTTGAATTTAAATAAAAAAACCCAAAAACCATTTCCAATTCTTTAATCAAAATTATACCAAAATAAGAAAAAATTAAATCTTGACCAAAACATGAGGGACAATCACATTCTCGATCCAAATTTTCAATGCTAATATATATAACCCAAGTCTAATACACCATAGCGTCAACCATTCAATCAACATTTTGGGTTCAAATAATAATAAAAAAGAACCGTAAATTCAGACTGACTGAGTTGATGTTGTGAAAATAAAAAATGAGCTCATGAGCCAATATAAAAATTTAAAAAAAAAAAAACTTGAGTAAAAGGTAATTTTGACTAGTAAAAGTAAAGATGGTCAGCCTTACCTAAAGCTGATAACAAAAATAAGTACACTCAGATCCTATATGATTCATCACTAAATTTCACAAATGCCTACAACAGATATCAAAAATTAAATCATCTCATCGTACCTTCAAAGTTGGTTTATTATAACAAATAGATCGCCATTGAAATTTGGTTTAGACATCATCCACTCTTGATGACATCAATGCATCCATAACATATTTACATGAAATCCATGTCAAGTTCATGAAATAATTTCTAAATATAGATCTTTTTTCCCCTTTTTTTGTAACTATTAATTGTAAAATAATAAAATAATATTACACTACAAAATATAAATAAAAAAAGTTACACATGATGTATACTTTATTTTTGATCGAATTAAAAAAAAATTAATCAAAATAAGCTGCCGGATTGAAACCAAAAACAAAAAAAGCAACCGTACAAAATCTGCCTCCAGTAATGGACATTTTATATGAAGCGAAAATATTTAGTATACAAAACTCTCTTGCACTGAACTAGCTACCTCTTTCAAAAAGCTTTACATTGTTGCAGTTGTTTTGGAAGACAAAAGCATGGTTTTCTGCATATATCAACATAAATGTGACCAAATTCTTAAATGTTCACCTTAGGAGTTAGGAATATGCATAACAAAATCACTACTTGTCTGAAGAAAGTTGGAGATTCTAACAGAAACAAGCTGTACGTAGAACCTGGGAAGAGAAGAGAAGGGATGAGGAACCATTGTTGGAGAAGGGGAGCACGTGCAAAAGGGGTATGGCGTTCTGAGAAGCCAAGATGATTTGCACGTGCCCTGCTTCTCCAACAAGGAGTTACCCTCCCACTAAATCCACATACTTGCAGATGGAGACTGTAATTCAGTTCATATCGGTAGAAGGGAAGGAACTGATCATGTATTTATAGGTGCAACGAGTGTGGAAAGAAGAAGAGGCAATCGAGTAGAGTTCATAAAGTGTTGAAAGTACTGAAAGAAAAATGCTCTGCCATGATCATCCTTCCTCCTTGTACACCCAGAAATTCAAATGAGAGAGAGAGATAGAGATGGGGGGGGGGGGGGAATTGGGTAATTGTCGACCTTACCTTGCCAAAAGTCACTTTGTTCCTTTCAGGATTCAATGCAAGCAGAGAGACAAGCACAAGAATCCGAAACCTACACAAATGGTAAAACCCATACAGCACAACCTCCTTGCTCATAAATTTCCTTCCAATGTAGCAATCTTGGCCCTTGGATCATAAATCCATCAACTGTGATGATGGGTCCTACAAGAATGTACGGCTCTTAGATCACGAGAGGGCGGAGACACACAGAGATGAACTTTGATAGTGCAACAGAGAAAGTGAGAATAACGTAAGAGAAGTTCATGACTTTGCGTGTTGGGTCCAAGTTTTTGATTATTTTGCGTGCGTCTGTATATGAGAGAGAGAGAGAGAGAGAGAGAGAGAGCACTCACTAGGTAGACATGATTCCCCTATATGTACAGAGCTTTTCCACAAAGCTTTTATGGCGGTTTTTGGATTTGGATCAGGAGTGAGTTTTCTTAAGGAGTGAGAGTGAGTGGGCAATAACTTTTCAGTGAGCCGAGTACAATGAGCATTGGTCTTATAAGCACCCATTGGGACTACAAAACTTGGGATTGATCCTATTAAATGAAAAAATATTTCAAGTTGTTTCCATCGATTATTCCAATTAGATAGAGCTATATGACTAAGTGCTCTCATCAACACACTATGAGTGATTTATTCACTAAAAACATTGAAGAAAAAAAATAAATTGAAGAGATTTAAATCCAAACCATCTATACTTAGCATGTTAGTATGTGTTATCCATCATCTTATGTCAGTTCATTTATTTTTTATCTTTGACATATGTATTGGGTTTCAATTGGAGAAGAGGTGAGAAAAAAACAGTCATGTAGGCCTAATGTGTTACAAGAAGTGATGATAACTTCAAAATATCAATTTAGCACAGAAACAATAAAGGAGCATTTCCCATTTTTTTGGCAAGCACTTATGAACCAATCTGACAAAACAAAGGAGTCTGTGAGGTACATGAGAGAGAGAGAGAGAGAGAGAAAAAGCTGAAGCTGGTGTCATTGGTGATCAAATCACATATTTCTGTCTTGTGGAAGAAGAACATAGATTCTGAATGAAGTCATCATAAAATCTAGAGAGGCATAAATAGTGGCGTGTGAACCCGCACAACCTGTGACAAGGTAGTAAATGCTTTTATTTGGCTGTTCAAACGCTCTCAAAATCCCATCACGCCTTTAAGAACAGAACCCCAAATTCCACGACAATTGATGCATTGTTTGACTTGCCGCAGATAAAAGGAACAGCAACAAAGCAATAGGTGATGGTTGGCGTATGCGAGAAAATGGTATAAAACCACTTTGTTTAGGGAAATCAAAATATCATAGTACTCTTTACCTGTATTTAGCTCGTATTAATTAGGCTTTTTTTGTGTTGATTCTATACATGTTTTCATCCAAAAAAAAACAAAAAAAAGAGAAAGAGAAATATCATAACATACGTAATTTAAACGGTCGACTCCTTTGTAAAGTAAGACTGTCAAAATTCGACACGATACGAATTAAACGGGTTTAAGTGATAAACGGGTTGACACGTCAAACACGTTTAATAAATGGGTCGTGTTCGGGTGAGACCTGTCAAACCGTTTATCACACTTTTACCCGTTTAAATAAAATTAATATAATAATAAATTAATAATTATTTAAAAAAATTAACAAGAAAAAAAAAGTAAATAAATCAATATAAAAAAAAAAGTAAAGCAGTAGTTCAAAGGCAAAAGAGAAGAGTTGGAGAGCACTTCAAAGGCAAAGGCAAACAAATGTCTTTTGTTTTTGTCCTACATTGAGAAATGAGGGGAGATGGAGAGGGTTGAGTTGCCTATAAAAGACAATAACCTCTTGTTTTTATTTTTAAAACCTTCAAGTTTTATTTTTCAAAGACAAATGAGAGGAGTTGTAGAACACTTGAAAAACAAAGGCAAACTAATGTCTTTTATTTTTGTCCCACATTGAAAAATGAGGGGAGATGGAGAGGGTGAGTTGCCTATTAAAGGTAATAACCTCTTACTTTTTTTTTTAAAGCCTTCGAGTCTTATTTTTATGAGATTTGATTTAAAATTCCTCTTTTTTGAGGTAAGTGCAATTAATAGTAAAAAAAATGGAGTATTAAAATTTGTTGATATAATTTTTTTTAAAATTAAACGGGTTAAATGAATTGTGTCGTGTTACCCTTTTATTAAACGTGTCGTGTATGAGTTTATACGTTTTTCACCCGACACCTGTTTAACCGGATATGTCACCATTTAACCCACGATTGACACCCTTACCGCAAAGCAATTTTTTTCTTTATTTGTTAAACCAAAATTATTTTGGGTCTGTAAAGTGAACCTAAAAGATAAGACCATAGTAACCCAGTGTATTGAGCCCAATCTAACAGCTGATAGAGTGGGCTTGGTACCTGATCGGCCCAAAAGGTAGATATCATTTGAGGCCTATCCCCACCGTTTTTCCTTGAGATCACTTCGAAGATCAACATCGGAGCGCGATCAAATGTTTTCTGACTTCCACTTAAACCCTAAAGACTCAACTATTGTCAGATGTCGAATCTGTAAACTCTCAAGTTTTTTTATTACCTTTTTCTTTTTCTTTTTTTTTGGTGGGAAAGGATGTAACTTTACACACTCACACACACACACACACATATATTTTACATACTTGATATGGTCAAAAAGATTAGAGAGAGAAAGTTTAATTTTAAATTTTGTTTTTATTTTTTATTTTTTTTATCATAGAGAGAGAATATTTTTTTATTTTTTTTTAACTTTTGATTTTTAGATTTCTAATATCCCTTGAACGAGATGAAGCAGTTGATTTTTGTGAAGAAAAGAGAGTGGTGTGTTGAATCATTTGCAATCTTCTTGATTGGAAAGAGTTTGCTACAATGAAAAATAGAAAGCATTGGTAAGGATGGCAGTGATACTGACAGTGTTCTGGCTTAATTTGCCTGATATCTCTACTCTGCAGCCCTAGATATATTTGAATGTTACAGCCATATATCATATAGAGTGGTGTGAACCTGAATTCCTCAAAGGATCTTGCACTAAGCACAAAATCATGAAGATGTTACTCTCATGGGGACTAAATCCGGATGATGGTAGTAACAACATTGTTTCTGGCTTTGACCCCCTCAGCTAATGGCGGCACCAAAAAGAGTGGCAAAACACCAATTTCTGTCATCTATTACAAAGATTTGGAGTTAAGATATCAATGCAACGGAGAATTCTATCATTTACAGGAGAACATTGAATTCCAAACGTATTTTTCTCTTTCTTTTGATCAGAAAAGACAGTGTCTTCAACAGTAGAAAAAAAACAAACAAACAGGTGCATTTTCAGGATAGACAAATGATGTAGATCCAAGAGTAGCACTTGGAATGCATTGACCAAGTATTATATCCCTTCTTGTTGGA